AGGGTTTGTCTCATGAAGAAGTAGGGTATTTTTCTCAATTTATAACCTATCCACTTCGAATGCCTCTTCAGGATTTATTCATCCGTTAAGATCTGGTTTGTCCTATCCCAGAGTAGGTCGTTGTTGATCGTGTCCGACCAACGGACCCTCAGTATCTTGCATAGACAACTGTGGTGGTTTGCCAGTTTTCACATCTCATGTGAAAATAAACGAATGTAGAAGGATTTTAAAGTATAGTGTTGTGGTATATACTACTTAGGTCGAAGCTTATAAGCATTATGCGATAGATTTGTAGTATTGGAGACTTCTTCCTCTACAGATTTATAAAAGCGTGAGGCAGTATACGAATTCTACGAATAAATCGAATACAGACCGCAATGAAACTACTGAGGAACCGTCCACCACATGTTCACGCGCTGGACTGAAAGTCCGGGGTTCGATTTCTCGGGTGCGCACCACTGATGAGTGCCCTACTAGGATGAAATGGTTACTCAGCGCTACCAGGTTTGTAACAGAGATCTGGCTAGGATCGATTTCAACTGTGAAAATAATATGAACTACACAAATCACTATTTCTTACAGCAAGCAGAGATGGATAGTGGCTAACCATGGAGTTCAGAATGTGAGTTTTGTCCAATTTGAGACTCGTCAGCTGGATTTACCTATTTCTAAGATGTGATATTCACTGTACGGCTTGAACCTGGTGTATTAATAATAAGCGTGAAAAACTAGTAATATGGATAAATTTATCCGCCTAAAGTCGTTTTTACCGAAAGAATAACTACCTGTTTCATTGAAGTTATGAATCGATCATTGTTAGACCAATATAAGAAACCTGGAAGCAATGGACCGACATTCAGTCCTGGTATGAGGGCTCGTCAGTGGTACGTAAGCATGATCCCCGCCCGTGAGAGTCGAACCTAGGACCTTCACTCTCGCGAATGAATGCTTAACCTCTGGATCAGTCAGGGCAGTAACCAACGCTGTTAATGTCCAACTTTGGTCAATCTAACTCTTTTTGTAACCTTGCCCATTGTCTCCAGTAGGTGCTGCCTAAAATCGATAGGGTTGTTGAACTGCACTAGTCACTTTATCTCTCCGAAGATTTCCTCACGAAACTAGTTCCTAGTGAGCACATTGAAAAATCATAACTACGTTGTCCTTCCTTTAAAATGTTACCATTATTTAAAATCTTTTCTCTATCTGGTTTAAACCTCAAACGTTACAAGTCACGACAACATTTTCTAATCTACTAAGTTAACTCTTTGAAATCCACTTTTGTTTGCCTACTCTATTCACGTTAAACGGTGAGATTTGATATCTCTGCTATTCAAGTGCATTGTGTACAAGTTCGTTAGATGATACTGAAATCCACACAGCTTCTCCCTAACCTTATGGTTTACCTTAATAGAAGATATCACTGCTGTTTCCACAGCCTTTTGGATATCATTTCAAGCTGCCTCAGGGTGGGCATCACTCACTACATGGCTGCTTAACTATTTTTCTAGTTGTTCCTGAAATATGTCCTTAGCTCTGTTATCATTAGGTAAAGCCCTAAAGTGTTTGCTTGCGATATTTTCCTTGCGTCCAGTAAGGCGCAAACAAATACGCGAGCATGGTCTGAGTGTAAAAAAGTGCTCCAGAATGAGTGGCAGTCTTCAATAGAGCATCTCCACCGACGGCTTATAGCGATGTGATCTAGTTGGGTCCATCGTTGAGTTGGCATTGGGGATCGCCAGGTCAAAGGTGTTTTACCTTGCGCTTAAAGTTAGTGTTAGCTAGTAAGTAATAGGCGGTTATCTGAGCATAGCTGCAGCAGATGGTTGCCATTAACTGTTCTATTAGCCACGACACCATGAGATTCACCCAAATGTCTTTCCTTTTTTCTGAGTTTATCTACTACTTGAGAATTCAAGTCACCAGCCATTATTACTATATCAGAGCGCCTAACGTTTTGAAGACGTTGAGAGAGGTTTCTGTCAAACTCATCTTTAACCTAGTCTGAACTAGTCACAAGGGGGCATAGGCAGATACGACGAAGAGGCAAAGACGAGTGTCCCTATCCTTCCTAGTACTTACTGTCCAGTCTAGTCGGACAGCGTATAAGCGATCCAGTATAAAACGGCTAGTTCCACCCTGGGACTTAATACAAAAAAAGGTACTGGGTACAATAAATTTACATTCCGAGTAACAACTATAATCTTGACTATTGTGAATACATCTAGGTCGAATGTATATCTGCATATTTTATGCTTCGTATGGGATCACTTGAACCAAGTTCTAAGTTTCGTACGATTAATTAACATTATTTGACTATGATGCGTTTCCGGAATGATACAACACAGTCGATGGACTGTATGCAAGTAAAAGTATTGTGGTGTGAGCTACTTATAAGTAATTTACGACGTGAGTGTCAACGTAATGTCTGGCAGAAGAAGATGGGGGAAGATCAAGAAACGAAGAGTTAGAACACAATGGAATTTGTATGAAACGCATGAACAGTGAGTGACAATGGATTGATGTTTGGCAACAGGAACAGTCCAGTTCAATATGATGAAATGATAGTTTGCAAATGAACGATTTACGATATGGTTTTCCTATTTTACTGAGTAACTCTGTAATTTTCATTAAATACAATTCGGTTGCCCCACCTGTGTTCTCGTTCACTACACTAGGTTCGATTCTCACGGGGGGGGATCATGCTTGCGTACCACTGACTAGAAGTATGAGTCAGTGAGATAAGTTTAGAAAGTCAAAACTAGAGGTGTTGAAGAATCCAGAAGATTAGGATTTGAGAGAACACAAAGAATAAATGCACCGGCGCCATTGCAAAACGATTGTGAGCCATGTCGTTCAAGGTCTCTAACCATCGATTATTATCATCTCACGGACCCCAACCAGGTAGTCTACAACTACAGAGACATGGCTAAGTCCACTAGTCAATGACTTCATGGATTTCCGCCGTGTTTTGGTTTGGCCGCCCCTAACTTTCTTTCAACTTACTCCTACACTACTAAACTAAGCTCGTCGAGGCTATCGGTGGTTAGGCTTACGCAACACATGTCCCAACTACCTCAACTGATGAAGTTTCAACACTTCATCGATTGATCTGCCTTTCTTACCTAGCACCCGATTCCTAATAACAGCGTTGCTCACTCGGGTGTCCCACGATATACAAGCAATGCTTCTAAGACACCTATGATCGAAAACCAATAAACGACGAGTATCTTCTACTCTCACTGGCCATGTTTCACAGCCATAAAGTAAGACGGAGCGAACCACTGCGCAGTACACTCGTCCTTTAGTCAGCAGACCGATATCTCGCCTACACCATAAGTGACGCAGGTTGGCAAAATCCAATCGAGCTTTCTGTATCCGTGCTGAGATTTCGTCAGTCACCAGGCCATCAGCACTGATGAGACTCCCAAGATAAGTGAAGCAGTCTACACGTTTGACTACTTTACTCCCTATCACTAGTTCAGGTGCGACGAAACCCAATCTTGAAGCAACATTTTGCATTTCGAGGGGGAAAACCGCATCCCAAACATGCTTGCATTGTTGCTTAGGGTAGTCAGAAGACTCTGCATTTTGTCAGCGTCTTCACCGAATAGAACTATGTCATCGGCATATTCTAGATCAGTAAGCGACTTTCCTGATAGAAGGTCAACCCCTGAAAAATCTGACGAGCTTAATGTTAACTCTAAGAGCATGTCTATGATAAAATTAAACAAGAATGTAGGAAATGGACATTCCTGACGGACACCACTTGAAGTAGAGAATTCCGATGACAGTTCGCCATAGTTCAATCACATCAAATTAACGTGCCTATGTGCAAGCAAGCGTAACATTGTCAACAAATAAATGAATGATAGATAGGCAGACAGACAGATAAATACACAAGTCATTTTGCTCAATAATTATTTATATATTTTTTTTATTCGTCTGAAATGAATAGAATAGAATAGAATTAAGAAGAAGTAACAAATACAAACCAGTCGTACATTCTTTTTACTCTTTACATCTGGTATATATATATATAAACAAACAACAAGAACAACAACACACTTCGAGGCGTAATTGTAAGTGTTTATATAATAATTTTTTTGTTGACTAAATAGAAAAAAAATATTCAATTCAGATTTACACGTAATATATATATATATATATATATATATATATATATATATATATATATATATATATATATGTATATATATATAACAAAGATTAAACGAAGCTTCAAATAAACAGAAAAACACACGCATAAAATAAGCAAGGAAGAAGGAGAAAGAACGGGGCGATATATATCTGTATAATAATAAGAAGGAGACGAAAGACAAAACTGTGAACAATTTCGTTTAAAATCAAAGAGAAATACACTACACTACACACACTCAGACTCACACTCAAACACACACACACACACAGAGCGTCGTACACGAATCCATAGCCAGCCAATTCAAGAGATAAGTGTAAGTAAGTAAGTAAGTAAGAAAGAAATAATTTGACAAAGAAAACAAATATCTATCTATTTATCTATCGTCAGGGAAAACAAACCTTATCTATTTTTTGTTTGTTTGTTAGTTAAAAGTCGAAATGAACTATGTACAACAAGTAAGTGAACAGTGAACTGTGATGAATACACAAGGAAAGAAAGGAAGAAGTACACACACACACACAGAGACACACAGAGAGAGGTGTAGTATTCGATAGAACACTAACTCAACTGAGTGTAGTGAGTGTGCATGCAGTGTACATGGAGTTGAATTTTATTTGCTTTTTACATAGTACAAAAAAAAGGTCTTATTATACAGTCTTAATAAATGAATCGGGTTGAGACAAATTCTAGTAGAAAAATAAATTCAATAAGTTTTAAAATAATGAAAAATTACAGGAGAAAAAATCTTCAAATTTATATGCAACAAAATTATTTAATTAATTAATTAATTAATAACACAAATATTCCTGGTTTATGTGACTGAAGTACGTACGTACGTACGTACACAAACACACACACACACACACAAAATGTGTAGGGAAAAAAACAGAAAATAGAAATACAAAAAAGAAACTGACTAACTGCACAAAGTGAGAGAGAGACGGAGAGAGATTTAGAACAAACAAACAGAAAGACTCGATAGCCTATAATATATAATAATAATAAAGATGGCACATTCAGTTATTCATTCATTCATCCATCTTTCCATTTGATTTTAAAACGTGTCACTTTATTGGAAGTAGTTTTAGCATTACTACTATTCGTTGTATTGTTGCTGGTGTTGTGCGTGTTGTGGATGTTGGTGTGCAATGAGAAATTCGAAGGATTACTATTACTACTAATACTACTACTTATATTATTATTATTATGATTCACAGTAGAAATACCATCAGCATTAGATAAAGTTGAACTATCTACATGATTGGTTGATGTGAAAGGAACAGTATTAGGATGATTAAACGATGTTGGATAGCGTATATTAGGAGTGTTAGAAAGTAATGGCAAAGAAAGAGCAGCATTCAATCGACTGCCTACTTTGTTGACAGTGGAATTTGAACGAATCGAATGGAAATTTTGCATGGAATAATTATTGGACTGTTGTTGCTGTTGTTGTATTATTGGATTAGTATTTTTAAAATCAGATAAATGTGAATGTGAGAATGTTGTATTATTAGTAGTAGTAGTCGGTAAATAATAACCATTGGAATGATTTGATAGACGACGATTGAAACCGGTAGTTAAAGTTTCACGTAATGTACCAAAACGTTGTTGTTGTTGTTGACTAGATAAATTTGAAGAGAATAATGATGATGTATCACCACGATACATATTACTAAGACTAGGTGGTCGTGATATGTTTTTACGTATAATACTATTGGGTCGTTGATTTGTAAATGAAGTTGATCGACCACTATATAATCTAGATTGTTGAGTTGGTTTTGCAGTTAAATTTTGATTTCTAGGCCAAGGAACATTAGGAATATGAGGAGATAACATGTAATTGTTATTTGAAATACCGGAAGAATCATCCATATGAGGTAAAGTAGCACGCTTTTTATCAAAGCTATCATTAGAAGATAATGCATGCTCTGACTCGGGAGGTAGTGATAAACACGCTAAAACATCTTGAACACATTCTTGTGGTATAAGTGAACCAATAATACGTTTTCCATCTTTTGATTTGAGACGGACAACTTGCATACAACGAGTAGAATTTGAACGTAGCTGAAGGAATGGTTCAATTCTAGCCCATACATTTAATACTGAACCACTAAGAACATAATAATTACGTGTTCGTAAACCAACTTCACATAATGTTCGACTTTGAATAGTTGATGAACAAAACCCGTGAAGTAACATATGTATACAACGTTTAGCACTTTCTTTAAATATACGACTCCATGGCTCTTGACAATCGGAAGGATTAGAAACACGTGTGTATCGTTCGCGTAATTTTTCAATTTCAATAGGTCGTGCTTGCATACCGGTATTTGGTCGATAGATACGATATAATTTTGAATTTGATGTATTACCTGATCGTAAATTACGAGTTTTTACATAGACAGCTAAAATAGGTATTACAATTTTATTATTTGTAATAACAGAAGGTAAATAGAATCCATCATTTACACCGTCATGTTGTGTATATATCTCCATAGCACCTGACCATGGTAAACCACGTTCAGCTGTTACTTTATGTAAATGAACTTGTGTAGACTCTGATAAGAACCACGTATCAAAACTTTTTGTCCATGTTATTTCTAAATTTTGACCAGAAGTACCAAGATCTAAAATTCCAAGATCCAATCGATTGTCACGTTTAGCACGTCTGGTAACTTCTTCCAATGTTTCGGAAAAATACTGAAATAGGGCATTTTGAATATGAACACGCATGCCTAAAATACGATTTAAAAATTTGGACATTTGATTGCTATCCTTTTCACGACATCGACCAGTAGCTAAACCTACACCTTGTAAACTAGCTTTAACATCGTTGAAGAAAGACTGAGCATTTAAGCTGTTACGATCAACAGTAACATCAAAAGATGTGTCAGTCATATAGTCGTTTGGAGGATCAACTATACCTTCGTCACCCCAAATGCAAGCACGTAGTACTAGTTCTAAAGCTTCTCGACCAAGTTTAGTATCCAAGTTGAACTGCGATAAATCACGAGTTTCTGTAGCTCGTCTATCACCATGTGTAAGAGCGCCAAGAGACTCCAAACGTTTGGCAACTGTTGAAGCAAAGCGTTGTTCACCAGCCAAATTGGAAATCAGAAAGATATATTTTGGAGCGCTAACCTGATTGGATCGATGTGTACGACCAAACTGCTGGACTGCGCGATCTGCACTCCAAGGAAGCTCTAATGTAATGTGAACACGTCGGCGTTGATTGGATGCTCTACGATCAGCCTGAAGAGAGATACCACTGCTGGCAGCCTCAGAGATAATAGCAATAAGTTTCTCGCCATCCATGAAGCGTTGTTTTTCTGTCAAATTCAGTAATTCTAAATTAACGTCACTTTCACGACGAGATTCGTAAGAAACGCGACCATCATCTCCCATCACCATACGACCTTTCCTACCTGTCATCTCGGCAACTCGTGAGGGGCCGCCCAACTTATCAATCAACTCATCAAGCGAACTTGGAGGTAATTTTGGACCAAGTTTTTCAATGAAACGCAAAAGTAAACTTTGCATTTCAGTGCACTGACGTTTAGCTTCCTCCGGAGAGACCTTTATTTCACTGTTCACTATAAGTGATTGATTTGCATCACCTGAGCCACGACCCATAAGATATTGACGTGATAATTTACGAGTCAATTCATCACCCCAAATATCATCTCCAAAGTGTTTACTGTCATCGAATTTCTTGATATCACTATTATCGGGATTCGAGTTGGACAGAGACATATTACGAGCCAGAAAGCTATCGAACAAAGCGTCAGGATCCCAATCTTCATCGGAATCATCTGAATTCGGTGAACTACCAGCTCGATTATACTTTTGTTTACGTTTACCAGAATGTGATTGTTTTTTAGAAGAATCTGATTTTTTCGATCGATTTCGATTGGAATTATTGTTTGAGTTCACTTCAAGGTCCGAGTCGTAATAATCCGATGATGAATTACCATCGGATAGATTACATCCATTGGTTTTTTGAGGATTATTCAAATCGGAATCATCATCATCATCATCATCGGACTCTTCAGAATGTTCATTACCATCATCATCGTCATCAGAGTCCGATCCTACACCGTCAGTTTTATTAGGCGCTTCATAATCACCACTCAATTTTGAACCAGATAAACTACCACCAGCAACTAACTTTGCAAGCATTTTTTCACCTAAAATATCTTTCAAACCAAGTCCACTTCCTTGACCAGCAGCTATTGCACGTCCTGCTCTGTTGAGAGTTGTATTCGAGCTACGATCACCAGCTGATGCTAGTTTATCACCTCTAAGAGAGAAATTATCCACGTTTGTTGGCGTTGGGAAATATTTTTCAACCAGACACTGGAACACACCTCTGTTTCAAAGAAAAAAAGAAAAGAATTTTTTCCAAATCAATGAGATTTTATAAAGTATGGATGGATATTGATATTGTGTGACTCACATATCTTACATTAATACAACAGATAATTTATTGGGTTTAAAGAATATAGAAAGCCGCTTAGTTCTAAGAAAAGTTTTCTTTATATCACAAACTATTTAAGCGAATTCACACTGTCGCCGCCATAAAATACAAGTGTACTTTAAAATGACTTACCTAGCTGTTGAGACAAACTCGCCTAATTCCAAACCATATTCTTCAACTTGTTCTAGAGTTTTAGCTTCACCAGTAGACTGAAGACCAATCACAACACACTGATATAAAAGAAAGATATAAATGATTTTTAACTAGCGTTTAAAGTAGTTTGAAAAAAAGTCAGAGTAAAAAACTGAATCAATAACCGGTTGTGGTTGATTGGTGTGAAATGCAAATCGGGATTCAGTTGAAAGCTTGTGTCGAAGTAGCAAACAAACATTTCAACTTTACCATTGATAATATTCCGGAAAAAGTTCTGATACAGGTGAGCAGTCTGTCATTTAAAAAAAAACTTCGATTTACAGTGTATATAGATTATATGAACATACTGCATGTGTAGGACAAAATTCAATAAAGGAAGAAAGAGAGGATGACCCTGACGAACACCATTTGAAGTAACCTATCCGGACGATAGTTCACCATATGCTCTAACTCAATCAACAAACATAATCACTACATCAAGTTAGCAGATACGATCAAAATGAATTGATCGGTTTCGGTTACTACTTAACAAAGTCACTGAGTAAAACTGAAAATACTGAATATTGACATGAACCTCTTGATTGTTGCTTTAAAAATCCTACTTCCCTCTATTATCTTATTCAATACTACCCAACTACTATAAGGGACCTTGATCTTGTGAAAACTCACTGATCTGGGCTCTCGTAGATGAGGCGGTTATATAGACTACTTTTGTTGCTACTACTAGTGTCATTTTTCACACGCTAATATGATTTGGTAAAGAGGATTGTGGTTCGATGTTGTTTGTTAAAGAATGATATAGGTTCAAAGTTTATTAACATCTCGAAGTCGCTGCTGGAGTGACGGCGCACAACCATCTTTCTCCAACCTAATCTTTTCAATTACCGCTAATATCTCTACTACCTCTAAGTACGATGGGATTTGTATAGACAATTCGATCTCTATGCTAATGTGGTATGGCAACTTGAACTGATGTACGCACGTACAAAGTTCAACGTTGTAGCTGACTGGCTAATATCCACTAGTTCAGTCAGTCAGTCAGATGCAACGTAGAACTTCGTACGTACGTAAGTACATCAGTTCATGTCGCCATACCACACCAGCACACAGAGATGTAATTTTCAATAGTAGAAGAGGTAGTAAAGGTATTAGGAGTAATCGGAGAGGTTAGGATTAGAAGATATTATTCAAGAAGTATGATTTAATGAGAAAAGTTTAGAAAGTCAAAACTAGAGGTGTTGAAGAATCCAGAAGATTAGGATTTGAGAGAACACAAACAATAAATGCACCGGCGCCATTGCAAACGATTTTGAGCCATGTCATTCAAGGTCTCTAGCCATCGATTATTATCATCACGCGGACCCCAACCAGGTAGTCGACAATTACCGACATGGCTAAGTCCACTTGTCAATGACTTCATGGATTTCCGCCATGTTTTGGTTTGGCCGCCCCTAACTTACTTCCAACCTACTCCTACACTACAAAACAAAGCTCGTCGAGGCAGTCGGTGGTTAGGCATACGCAACACATGTCCCAACTACCTCAAACTGATGAAGTTTCATTACTTCATCTATTGATCTGCCATTCTTACCTAGCACCCGATTCTTAATAACAGCGTTGCTCACTCAAGTGTCCCACGATATACGAGCAATGCTTCGAAGACATCTATGATCGAAAACCAGTAACCTACGAATATCTTCTACTCTCACTGGCCATGTTTCACAGCCATCCACTAGTTCATCTGAACAGAGAATCTCTGAAACTCACCACTAACTTTGCTATCAAAGGTATTCTACAAATAATTCTGATAGAAGTGAGTAGTAGTGATGCAAGTAATTTGAAGATGAACTTTGATGTACAGTGTACGGATCGTATAGTCAAGGAGCAAAATGATACTCAACCCACACATATCCCAGTCAGATTGTTCTCAATATCCGGAGGTACGGTTAATACGTTACATTGTTTAACTTGGTCTCATTATCAAAAATATTGAGTCTACATTAGTTTGCATCGGTTGAACTAGTTTTGCGCTATGTTTGTGAAACCTGGGCTCTTCGAGTTGAGGACGTTATGTTAAACAACTGTGTTCGATCATCGTTGTCTCCGAATGGTTGCTAACATTCCGATGCAATGCCATCTCCTTAATTCCGAGGTTTGAAGTGTGTTTGATTAGCGTCACCACAGTGAAATACCAGCTTCTACGGTATGAAAGTTTGTCATGAATGTCACACAAGTAGCTTCCACATCATCCCCGACCTCGGCCGCTACCTTGATATGATGGTCGGGATCGTCTATCGTGATGAGACTAAAAACAGCTACTCAAGGTCTGAGGGCGAAGTCATACTGCTGACTGTCGACGGGTGTAACAGCAGTAAGGTGATTTCCTCGGACAACCAGCATCTGCAGCGATGCTGTCTTCTCATAAGGAAGGATGCGGATAGAAAACGTCGACCCTAAAAATGTCACACTTCACCTTACCTAACGGATTTCCGTCTCCCGTGGTAAGGCCATTTAAAGAGCGGAGCTAACATTATAAAATCTTCCAATAAAAGGCCGTGCATGACCGGCCTCCAGCAACTATCCCTTGGACTCTGCGGCTATGATCCCAAATCTTCAAGACCAACTCTAATCTACCTTCCTTTCCACCTTCTTCAAGAAACACCCATCTAAGGTGTGGGGAGCCGGGAAGTCATCTGCCCTCATACCCGTAACAGCACACGAGACCGTATTGGTCACAATCAAATCCTTCCTACACCCCTTAACATCTCGTTTATCTCCACGACTAACACTTCTAACATAACTTTATCACCCCGCACTGCTAATGCAAATGATTTGAGTTCACGAAACGTCATTCCTAGTCTCCTGAAATCCCGTTCTAGACTACATGGTGGAGCTCTTAGTGTCACTGGTTTACTTAGAATATACCGATGACACAGTTCTATTCGGTGAAGATGGTGATAAAATGCAGTGTCTCCTGACGACCCTAAGCAATTATGCAAGTATGTTCGAGATGCGGTTCTCCCCCTCGAAATGTAAAATGTTACTTCAGCATTGGCTTGTATCCGCACCTCCACTAGTGATAGAGAGTGAAGCAGATGAGCGTACCGACAGCTTTAATTATCTCGGGAGTCTCATCAGTGTAACTGACGAAATCTCAGCGCGGATATAGAAAGCTCGATTGGCTTTTGCCGACTTGCATCACCTATGGCGTAGGCGAGATATCGGTTTGCTAACCGAAGGACGAGTCTACTGTACTGTAGTTCGATCCGTCCTACATTATGGCTGTGATACATGGCCAGTGAGAGTAAAAGATATTCGTAGGTTACTGGTTTTCGATCATAGATATCTTCAAAGCATTACTCGTGTATCCAGGGACATCCGAGTAAACAATGCTGTTGTTCAGAAACCGGTACTAGGTAAGGGTGACAGATCAATAGACGAAGTGTTGAAACTTAATCAGTTGAGGTGGTTGGGACATGTATTATGAATGCCTAACCACCGACTGCCTCTTCGAGCAATGTTTTGTGGTGTCGGAGTAGACTGGAAGAAAGCTAGGGGCGGCCAGACCAAAACATGGCGGAAATCCATGGTCACTGACAATAGGATTGAGTTATGTTGGTAAGTGTCGACTCCCTCGTTGGTTAGAGACTCTACAGTACATGGCTAAAAACTGTTCGCAATGGCGCAGGTAAATTCATTCTTGGTGTTCTGTTAAAGCCTAATCTTCTGAATTCCTTGTCACTTTTATCTTTTTTTCATTTTAAGTTGAATTCAGTAGATTCTACTTCGAATCTAAATCTCTCCAATTATAGCTAATACTTCTACTATCCTTACTACTATGATATTTGAAGTGACAATTGCGTCTCTGTGCTAATGTGGTATGACGACATGAACTGATGTACGTATGTACGAAGTTAGTTCTACGTTGTAACTTTCTACTTACTACTACTCCACATCATACACATCATTTTCAGATGTCGAAATGAAGTGGAAAATCTGAAGATGGTCAGCTCATCATAACATGGTGTCCTGGAGGGAAATTAAAGTGCGTCGGTCTGTCACGATCTTTTGGCTGGGGTTCCAGAGATGAGGCAACTCAATGGCTTGATAAACTATCAGGTTTGGCTAAGAATTGACATCAATGTCAATTCCGTTATAATTTACAAGTATATTTTTTTAAACGAATGAGGGAATCTCCATTAGATAGACAGAATTATCGACAGCTATATATATTGTAATTTGAGCAGTATTTCATGTTACATTCCATTCCTTCTTACATGTATTCATTTTCTCGATTATGCCAATGGCCCTTTACTTCTTTACGGCAAAAAAAATACTTTTTTGGTGTCTAATTGTACCACTGCAGTGAACGAGAACACAGGTTAGGGCAACCGAATTGTATTTAACAAAAATTACACAGTTACTCAGTAAAATTGGAAAACCATATCGTAAATTGTTCATTTGCAAAATAACAGTTCATCATATCGAACTGGACTGTTCCTGCTGCAAAACATCAATCCATTGTCATTATTCATGCGTTTCATACAAATTCCATTGTCTTCTAACTCTTCCTTTCTTGATCTTCCCCTATCTTCGGCTGCCAGACATTACGTTGACACTCACGTCATATACTACTTATAAGTAGCTCACACTACACCAGGATTTCATGTACAACATAAAACAATCAAAACTAAATACATAGACCAGTAGACAGTATATCTTCATAATCTTCAATCAGTCTTGTGTACAACTTAAAACCCTACACACATACACAATAATAATAAAAACATTTTTTTTCGAAAATAAACAGACAGATATGTAATTTTAGTTTTGTAAGATTTAATTTTAAAAACACAAAGAACACAGACAATAAATAAGTTGCTACTCACTTTACCCTCTTCAACTGCAGTTTTAGCAATATCTACACATGTATCCACTTTCGCGGCAATACAAAGATATTTGAAAAATCGTTGATGAGCAGACCAAAATTGTCCCCACATAGTTTTACGATATCGATCACTTAGATTTAATAAACGTGATGCCTCTGAGAAGAATCGATATGCGTATACCCACTAAATAATTATTTTTTTTGTGGAAAAGAAAGAACAGAAAATAAAAAGTCATATACATTTGAAAAATACAAATTATTTTCTTTGTACTACTCTACTTGACTGGTGGAGGGGAGGGGAGGGGTAAGTTTTAGTGTGAAACGATCATTGTTAGACCAAGATTAGAAAGCTGAAAGCACTGAGAAGCCATCTTGTCCCTGGTATGGGGACTCATCAGCAGTGCTCATGATTTCAAATGAAAAACAAATATGTTAAACAGAAGGCTAATAAAATGACAGAGACTTTTGTTGCCAACTGTCCCAAATTTACTGAACTGATATCTTCAGATAGAGTTTTGGAGGTTTGTGTTTTTACACATTTGAAATCATCAATCAATCAATCATTGTTAGACAACCATTAGAAACCTGCAAGCACTGAAAGACGGCCGTTTCTTCCTGGTATGGAACTCATCATTGGCAGTGCGCATCCACAACTCCTGCACCTCGATGGTCTAACAATGATTGATTGATGATTTCAAATGTCTAAAAACACAAACCGCCAAAACTCTGCCTGAAAATATCGTAACAGTGCTCACTAGTGACTAGCTAGCTTCGTGAGGAGATTCTCGGAGTTCCAGTTGAGAAGACGTGACCGATGGAGTTCAACCCTGTCGGGTGTAGGCAGTAACTACCAAAGACAAATGAGTGAGGTCGCGCAAAATCCCTAGATCAATCAGAGTTGGACATCAACACCGTTAGATGCCGGCCCAGTGGTCCAATGGTTAGGCGTCCCGGGTTCGAATCCTGCGGGGTGCGGGAGTCGTGGATGCGCACTGCTGGTGAGTCCCATACCAGGACGAAACGGCCGTCTTTCAGTTCTTCCAGGTTTCTAATGGTGGTCTAACAATTATTGATTGATGTTAACTGATATCATAGATTAGTAGCCCATCTCACATTTCTCACTAGTGCTTAGTGTTGATGAACAAAACTGAAACACGGTCACTTGCCCAAGTGACGATGCAACATTGCATGGTACTATATAGTAACGTTAACATAAGTTTCATTAAATAATCGCTACTCGGTTCATATGTATGTATAAATAAAACTCCTTAAAAAAGAACTAAAATTATTTTGTGGTTAAACCACTCAAAAGGCAATAAAAAGTAACGAGTTTTAAACGAGTGATTCGACAAACAGGTACCATGAATTTTTTTCAATTACAATTATAGAGATTAGTGTTTTGACACAATGATAATCATCAATCGATCAATGTTAGATCAGCTCTGGACCACTTGACCGGAATACAATGGCGTTAATATCTAACTCCGAACAATCTAGGGATTTTGAGCAACCTCACCCATTTGTCTTCGGTAGTTACTGTCTACACCCGGACAAGGTTCAGCTCCACTGGTCACGTCTTCTCACTGGAACTCTGAAAATTTCCTTACGAAGCTAGACTGAGGTTTGGCACAAGATAGAAGGTCGTGGGTTCGAATACTGCAAGCAGCAGGGGTTGTGGGTAAGCACTGCTGATAAGTCCCGTACCAGGACTAAACGGTTGTCTAGTGCTTTCAATGATTAACTGGCGATTTCAGTATCATGAATTTTAACAAAAATTAATTAAATCAAATCATAGTCTTAAGAAAATTGAAGAGTACAGACCTTCTGGTGTAATAAGAATAACTCAAAGAGAAATCTGAAATTTTAGCGATGAAAGACAAACAAACAGAAATAAACCTGAGGGGTATAATTATCCAAATTAAGTGGAACTATTAGCGTTACAATCAGTCAATTGGAGATATCAACTTACTTAAACAGTGAATCTTATCAGTTAGAGAATGAAAAAAATCTATTTATGAATTCGTGAGTTATTACAATCTTTAAAAATAGGCCTGATAGATAGATAGAGAAATGTTCTACTGTGGGGATTGCTGCTTAAAGTGATCAGTAATAATGTAGTGAAGGAGAACACATGTGGAGCAATCGGATTGAATTTAACGAAAAGTACACAGTTACTCAGTAAAATTGGAAAACCATATCGTAAATCGTTCATTTGCAAAATATCAGTTCATCATATCGAACTGGACTGTTCCTGTTGCAAACAACATCAATCCATTGTCACTCACTATTCATGCGTTTCATACAAATTCCATTGTGTTCCCCCCACTCTTCCTTTCTTGATCTTCCCCCATCTTCTGCTGCTAGACATTACGTTGACATTCAAGTCATATACTACTTTATAAGTAGCTCACACCACAATAATACATGCTTCACAATATACAACTCATCATATAACACCTATACTAATTAACGTATGCTATATATCGAAACAGAATACCAGTATATATATATTTATGATCAGTAGTTAGTTGCAACGGAGAACATCGTACGTAAATACATCAGTTCAGGTTGCCATACCACGTTAGCGCAGAGACGCAATAATTGTCAGTTCAAATCACATAGTGGTAGAGATAGTAAGAGTACTGCTGGTAATGGAGAAGATTAGGAAGCGAAGATATTATTCAAGAAGTATAATTCAGTGAGATAAGGTTAGAAAGACAAAAGTAGATGTGTTAATGAATCCAGAAGATTAGGATTTGAGAGAACACAAAGAGTGGATGCACCTGCGCCATTGCAAACCATTTTGAGCCATGTCATTCAAGGTCTCTAACCATTGGTGACTTTCGTCTCGCGGACCCAGACCACGTGGCCTACATCTACCAAAATGACTCAGTCAACTTGTCAATGACTTCATGGATTTGTGCCAAGTGTTGGTTTGGCCGTCCCTAGATTTCTTCCAACCTATTCCTACACCACTAAACATAGCACGTCGAAGCAGTCGGTGGTTGGGCATACGCAACACATGTCCCAACCACTTCAACTGATGAAGTGTCACTACTGCGTCTATTGATATATATTAAACAAATCATGTATTAAGCACCAGAGTACGTCGATCACAATGAGATGAAAAATATACATAGACAAAATTAAAGAATACTAACCAAATCAGTTGATTGATTATACACATGAATAAAATCTTCATGACCCAACTTCACATTCTCTATAAGCACTTCATTAATATTGAAGTTTACACCATGAAAACTAAGCTGTCGTGCAATATACATTCCACGTAATTTCATATCCATAGCAACCAATTCCATAGCACCAACACCACGTCGTTCAAGTGTTTGAATGAATGAATTGAATGTTTTAAATGGTGTTCCATCACCCCACAATCCTAAACGTGTCATATAAGCCATATTACGTGGTTCAGTAGCGCCTGTTGCACTAGCATAAACAATTCGAGCATTCGGTAATCGATTTTGTAATTCCAGCACAGTTAAACCTGTTTTTGTAGGTTTTTGTGAACCACTAGGAGTTAAATTTTTAGCACGATGACATTCATCAAATACAATCTGTGTGAAAAGTAAAATTATGAATGAATTTACAATATAATGACAAGAAAAATACATCAATATACTTTACATACTAAAATTACATAACTGTCATGTATTTTGTCTTACTATATGAGATACAACTTAAAAAAACTGGTCAGCGACCTATGCTCCATTTGGGGGGATAACAAGCGTAAGTAAGCAAGTAAGTCATATATTTTAATTTTATTAAATTGACTGCATGTTTTATATAATCACTGGAAATTGTAGGGACCTACCTTTGAAAGTATTCAACATGTTACCAGAATCAATTGTTAATGAGAGAAAGCGGCATGGATGTGATGAGGGATTAGAAAATCTTTACAAATGAACGACACTGTTACGACAAAATATGTTCGGATTTCAAACAATGAATTACGTTATTTATATCAGATTCACTTCTTTTGATGCAGTTGTGATTGAAGGTGATGAAGAATTCAGAAGATTAGAATTTGAGAGAACACATAGAATAAATACAGCTGCGCTATTGTAAACGATTTTGAGCCATGTCGTTCAAGGTCTCTAACCATCGATGATTATCCTCAATCTCGCGGACCCCACAACCAGGTAGCCTACATCTACTAACATGACTCAGACCACTTGTCAGTGACTTCATGGATTTCTGTCATGTTTTGGTCTGGCCGCCCCTAACTTTCTTCCAACCTACTCCTACACCACAAAACATAGCTCGTCGAGGCAGTCGATGGTTGAGCATACGTAACACATGTCTCAAACACCTCAACTGATGAATTTTCAATACTTCATCTATTGATTTGCCATCTCTACCTAGTACTCGTTTCCTAACGACAGCATTGCTTAATTGGTTGTCTCAGGATATACGAGAAATGTTTCGAATGTCCTCTACTCTTACCGACCATGTTTCACAGCCATATGGTAGGATGAAGAGAATTGCTGCACAGTACATTCGTCCTTTGGTTAGCAGACGGATATCTATCTCACCTACGCCATAAGTAACGCAAATTAGCAAAAGCTAATTGATCTTTCTGTTTGCGTGCTGAGATTTCGTCAGTCACCAGGCTATCAGTGCTCATGAGAATCACAGAATAAGTAAGAAATTATACGACTAACTAGCTAAGTTTTCAGTAAGTTACAGTTTGTAATAATTGTATCAACAACATAAATATGATCAATGAAGGTTTAATTCAAGACAAACAGTTTAGGCAATATAAGAGAAACACTGAAGCTAGAAATAGAAAAAAAAATGTCTTAAAATTAACTGGTTGTCAATCTATGTCATACAAATGCAATTACAAATACAGTTACTCATAACATAACTAGTCCCATTTGAAATGTCAAAGAATATCAACCGCATATATAGTAAGTAGTACATATAAAAGTGCTTCGTTACAGATCATGTGATAACTTAACTCGTCGTCATTTTTACATTCAATAAAAAAGAATGGAAATCAGTTTGACAGTTGATTTGAAAAAAACTCAGTGAAATTTATGAAGTAAATTTGACAAATCTATGATATGAATATGATCAAGTTAGACATTAACACCGTTAGATACCGGCTCAGTGGTCTATCGGTTAGGGCATTCGCGCACAATACCGAAGGTCCTGAGTTCGAATCCTGCGGGGTGCAGGAGTCGTGGATGCGCACTGCTGAGGAGTCCCATACCAGGACGAAACGGCCGTCCAGTGCTTCCAGGTTTCTAATGGTGGTCTAACAATGATTGATTCATGGTTTCAAAAATGTGTCAATCTATGGTACTCAACAGTATTGAAGAGTATCAAAACCAAATAATGAAGTAACAATAAATGATACAGGATGATAAATGTCAAAGTGTGAAAACTAACTGTTAGTAGGACATAGATGGAATTAAAGCATGACTGCGTTAGTTGTGCGCTGATTGGCTAATCGCCTAATCCAATCAGCGCCTGGCCCATCATACTTGGATAACAGGCTAGAAAATTTTCGTGTTGTTAGCTGTATGTTGATTGGCTAAATCTAATCCGGTCAGTGCTAGTCAGTCAATCACGTGAATTACATTCCAGAAGTTTCTCATGTAAAAACGATAAGGACACTAACGTTGTATCTATTATGCCTTTGCCTTCGCTTTAGGCTTCTTTCTTATTTCCATTTAACCTTGTTGCTATTTGGAATATAATCTCTGTTTCCTGTTCCACTGTGTTTTTGATTCTTTGGAACTTGTCCAGTGTGTATTGTGTGTGGTCAGAGAATACATTAAGCAATAGGAATTAGCTAGGAATTATTCAAGCCAGAGCGTTACAACGCTAACTAACTAACTAAGAAAAAATGTTACAAACACAAGAACACAGAGTATAAAAATACTTATGCATAAATGAACGTACCACACCATCGAATTTTTTTCCACACCAATGAACAAGTTGTTTTAAACGAGTTTTATATTTCGCTTTTGCACTACCTTGACTTTCACCAATCAATGATGAGTAAGTAGAAAAAATTACTCCTTTTTTTACACGCCCATTTGTTTTACCCGAAATACGAGCATATTTAAACTGAAATAATAGTGGAAAAAAACATAAAAGTGTGAAAATTTTGTTAATTCTACACTTATGTACGTAATTGCTTAAATTGAGGGGGGAAAAAAATGATATCTATGAGATAGATAATGATTATTTTTACGATGAAAAATCTACACTAAAATAACACTACAAAATTGACAGACTGTAATGACTCGCTATTTATGCGCAAGACTGCCATGAGTAAAATGAAACTGCATATACTCTCATTTCGTACAGAAACTAAATGAGATAGTGAACGGTCGTCAAGTCCTATAGTATAGGACTCATAGGCAGTGCGCATCAACGACCGCTCGCGGGAATAGAACCCAGAATCTTCGATCTTGTGCGTGAACACTTAAACTCTAGGATACTGGACCGGCATTCGACGATGTTGCTCATTAGTGACTAGCTTCATGAGGAGATTGTCGAAGTTCTAATGAAAAACCGTGATTGGTGCATTTCAATCTTGTCAGGTGTCGGCAGTTACCCATCAAAGACATTGAATGAGGCTGAGCAAAACCTTAGATTGATTAAAGTTAGATACTGACAACGTTGGATATCGGCTCAGTCACCCAGAGGTTAAGCGTTCGTGCACTAGACCGAAAATCTTGAGTTAGATTCCTACTGGCGGCGATTGTGGATGCACACTGTTGATGGGTCCCAAACCAGGACGAAACAGCTATCCAGTGTTTCTAGGTTTATAATGGTGGTCTAACAATCATCGATTCATGATTTTAAACCAAATATCACTATTCTGAATTTTAAAAACCTTATCACGAATGTCAATTTACATCCTTTGTTAATGCAATCAGATTGGTTATTTCGTTAAATATACCCTAAAAATATATAGTGTCAACTGAAAAGGTACTCCCACAGACGTGAGAACAGAAGTATGCATTCAAAAATGATAATTCGATATTATGATTTATTTATTCAGCCCGTGTCATCTTTCCTCAAACACCCATTGAGAAAAGTATCACCGAATGAAATATCTTACTTTTTGTTCATATATATATATATATATATATATATATATATATATGACTGGATTAACTGACGAGTTAGAGAGCAATCCCAATGAGGTATATGACACATAAACCAAACGGATAGTTAATTACCTGGCGAAATAACTAGAAACGACTGGGATTATAGATCAAAATCTATAAGATACTTCTTTCCCTAGTACAATTAAACTTTTCATAGGTCAATAACAACAACAACGGATGAAATACAAAGTAGTTATATATATAGATATATATAAACATCAGGATCAATAAATGAATGGACCTTAAGTAGTCCGAAGGCGAATAGTCACTCTCTCACCTTGTTTAATGAATGAACTTTGATTTTTCCCAACCCAACGTCACGTAGATCACGTTCAGCATCGACTTTCAAATCATTTGAAACTGATAGCCAAATGGCTTTTTTACGATGTCGTAAATAATTTTCATATAATATTCCGGCAATGGTGCGACCTTTTCCCACACCTGCCCCGTCGCCTGTGGTGGAGCAAGCAAATGCACCACTTTAAGAAATATTGTAATAATTCATCCGCAATATCATCAAACAAATATGAATATCAATAAAAGTGAATATATCGAAGTGTACTGTACTGTACTGTACTGTAGTGTGTAGTGTGTACTGTTTAATATCTTACAAGTCAATTTTGTATTGTCAGTTGAAAAAAATTCAGCTTGATAAGGAAATGAAAAAACACATTCTAACGCCTAAAAAAAATGTCCTACTATCAAAAAAATCAATGATAAAACACTGGATATCATCTAAAACGCAACAAATAAAAGTAACCAAACATTTACGTTGTTATACTACTACTACTATACATGTAGTTTTACACGAATTCATAACAATAACAATAGATTTTCATAATAACTTTTAAACTCCTTGACATCATTACACTAGTTCGACTGGATGTTATATAATAATGGTTTTTATCAAAAAAAAACAATCAAACGAAAACAAGGTGAAATGAAAAGAGAAATTTTTTTTCAAAAGACTGAAATGAAGTAAGTAACTTAATAATCATAAAAAAAATTGTCAACTAGTAGAAGTGAGCTGGATTAAAAGAGTGTTTACACAACCAATGGTTTCAGTCTTATAATATACATCTACACAACGACTAAGAAGTTGTTATATCACTCGACTAAACCCTCTTAGTCAGTCAGTCAGTCAGTCAGATGCAACGTAGAACTTCGTACGTAAGTACATCAGTTCATGTTGCCATACCACATCAGCACACAGAGATGTAATTGTCAATTCTAATCCAATAGTAGAAGAGTTAGTAAGGGTATTAGAAGTATTCGGAGAGGTTAGGATGAGAAGATATTATTCAAAAAGTATGATTAAATGAGAAAAGTTTAGAAAGTCAAAACTAGAGGTGTTGAAGAATCCAGAAGATTAGTATTTGAGAGAACACAAAGAATAAATGCACCGGCGCCATTGCGAACGATTTTGAGCCATGTCATTCAAGGTCTCTAACCATCGATTATTATCCTCATTTCGCGGACCCCAACCAGGTAGTCGACAATTACCGACATGACTCAGCCCACTTGTCAATGACTTCATGGATTCCTGTCATGTTTTGGTTTAGCCGCCCCTAGCTTTCTTCCAACCTATTCCTACACTACAAAACAAAGCTCGACGAGGCAGTCGGTGGTTAGCCATACGCAACACATGTCCCAAGCACCTCAACTGATGAAGCTTCAGCACTTCATCTATTGATCTACCATTCTTACCTAGCACCCGTGTCCTAATAACAGCGTTGCTCACTCGAGTGTCCCACGATATACAAGCAATGCTTCGAAGACACCTATGATCGAAAACCAGTAACCTACGAATATCTTCTACTCTCACTGGCCATGTTTCACAGCCATAAAGTAAGACGGAGCGAACTACTGCGCAGTACACTCGTCCTTTAGTCAGCAAACGGATATCTCGCCTACACCATAAGTGACACAGGTCGGCAAAAGCCAATCGAGCCTTCTGTATCCGAGCTGAGATTTCGTCAGTCACCAGGCTATCAGCAATGATGAGACTCCCGAGATAACTGAAGCATTCTACACGCTCGACTACTTCACTCCCTATCACTAGTTCATTTGGAGATGCAACCCAATTTTGATGCAACATTTTGCATTTCGAGGGCATTTTGTCAGCATCTTCACCAAGTAGGACAATGTCATCGGCATATTCCAAGTCAATATGCGAGCCTCCTGGCAAAAGATCTACTACTGAAAATTCAGATGAGGATACGGTTATTTCTAGGAGCATGTCAATGATAAAATTAAACAAGAATGGAGAGAGTGGACAACCCTGACGGACACCACTTGAAGTGAAGAATTCCGGTGACAGTTCGCCATAAGCTCTCACTCGACCAGTGGTGTTCGAGTAGAGAGCTTGTATGAGGTTAATGTACTTCTTTGGTACATTTTTCAATGACAGATACTGCCACAGAACCTGACGATCCACTGAGTAGAATGCAGCCTTAAAATCCAGGAACACAACTATTGTAGGACGCCTCTTATATATGATTTCTTTTTAAATATTCATAGATATTAAAAGTCTCCCTTGATTGTACCTATAAAATGTGATTATCATCAACATCAACAGCAACGTAGAACTTTGCAGATACAGATACAACGCAGAACTTCGTACGTACGTATGTACGTACAGCAATTCAAGCTGCCATACCACATCAATCAGCACAGAGATATAATTGTCAATTCAAATCCCATAGTAGTAGACGTAGTAAAAATATTCAGAAGTAATCGGAGAGATTTGGGCTCGAAGATATTATTCAGTGAGGTAAATTTAGAAAGAGAAGGATAGAGGTGGGGAGGAATTTAGAAATTTCATAGAAAACAAAGAGTAAATGCACCTGCGCCATCGCAAACCATTTTGAGCCATGTCACTCAGGGTCTCTAACCATCGATTACTATCATCTCGCGGACCCCAACCAAGTAGTCTACATCTACCAACATGACCCAGTCCACTTGTCAGTGACTCTATGGATTTCTGCAATGTTTTTGTCTGGTCACCCCCCTAGCTTTCGTCTTATATCGGAAAACACATATGAAATGTGATACCTAAGATCAGTGAGTAAACTACTAAAATTCATGATAGCATAAGTTTTTCTTCAGGCACTCAAAGTTTTAAAAAAAGACTTTATAAAGCCTAAGTAAACATATGTACTGGACAAAGTTGCCACATCAGTACAGCAAAAAGGAGACCATTGATTTATACACAAACTACCCAGATGCCTAAACCAAAGCACGTGGTTTTTAGCGGGGGGGGGTCAATTCCTTCAATTAGTAGCAGCTTTTGCTGCCAAAACTCTACAACCAATCGATCCTCTGAAGTTAACCTTTCAAGTCTTGCTGCTGCTGCTCTCTCTCTCTCTCTCTCTCTCCTTACAATCTGACTACGAGTGAGAGGACTCTATAAACTAAATGAAGAGGAATATTAAGCAGAGGATTTCATAAGCTTTAAAAACAAAACACAAACAGTATAAGAAATCAGTAATACTTCCTCTGACATCAACATGTGTGGAGTAACATCACGGTGGTACTTCAGCTCAGTTATATTGGATTCATAAGGCTCGTCGTCATCAGAGAACAGATGCGCAAAAATCAGACTGTTTAAAAATTTTCAGAGTGATTCTTCGAAGATCGATACATAACATAAGCATATAAATTCACATTTAGTTAACTAGTATCACAACTCATACTTATGTTAAGTGAAAAAAAAATGTATGATAAATACTATGGCAAAGAACAAAATAACGTACCAATTAAGAACCCAGCACGTTGACCATTTGGTAAGATACACTCATGACGTTGACAGGCGTAAACCACTGCTTCTAATTGTAAAGCGGAAAGATATGCTCGATCGATAACTTCATCTGGAAGAATCAATCGATAGTGAATATCTGGAGGAGAGACGCTAGACAAGGAACTGGACTCGACCACAGGATCTGGATGTTTTTGTCCATAATTTACTGAAATAACGAAAATGTCAGTCGATTTTAAAATCATATGAAGTTAATAATACATCTCTTTTAAAGTAAATACTAGTTACCTATTGTGGATAGACGCCACTAAGCAAACCATACGTAAACCACAAGAGAAATGCTATTTTGGCAAATTGTAACGGGGAGTATATATAAGCTATACATTACATACAGTAAGTAGTTGACAGAGCACAAAATATGTAAAACTACTAGCCCTCTTTACTCTCTACAACAGACTTAATTACAATTTAATGCATGTATTATCAATATTGAAGCAGATAAGGTACAAAAAGACCATTGATTAAATCGCACATGAATTTCAATCGGAGTATTCAATAGAACAAAGGAATGTGATCACATTTTTGCAAATATGATTATCAGTAGTAGTATAATAATACACTCTGAGCAAATATTTCAGGATTATTGAAAACTAACGTCATTAGTGATTGAAATCAAGCATAGAAGGATGAATATATATATAGGGGATTGAAGAAAACCACGATGAAAAGTCCGGATAGTAGTTTGTTCCCTTGCATTTTCAATGGTTGATGTATAGAAAAACTGTAGTCGGGACCCACTTTCCAACCGCTTATGATTCATTAAGTGAGAGCGTTTTAGTATGACTCATGTCAGTCAGTCAGTTGCAACGTAGAACTTCGTACGTAAGTACATCAGTTCATGTCTCTATACCACATCAGCACAGAGATGTATTTGTCAATTCAAATCCAATAGAAGAAGAGTTAGTAAGGGTATTAGAAGTAATAGGAGAGATTAGGATTAGAAGATATTATTCAAGAAGTATGATTCAGTGAGAAAAGTTTAGAAAGTCAAAACTAGAGGTGTTGAAGAATCCAGAAGATTAAGATTTGAGAGAACACAAAGAATAAATGCACCAGCGCCATTGCGAACGATTTTGAGCCATGTCACTCAAGGTCTCTAACCATCGATTATTACCATCTCGCGGACCCCAACCAGATAGTCGACAATTACCGACATGACTAAGTCCACTTGTCAATGATTTGATGGATTTCTGTCATGTTTTGGTTTGGCCGCCCCTAACTTTCTTCCAACCTATTCCTACACTATAAAAAAAGCTAAACGAGGCAGTCGGTGGTTAGGCATACGCAACACATGTCTCAACCACCTCAACTGATAAAGTTTCACCACTTCATCTATTGATCTGCCATTCTTACCTAGCACCCGTCTCCCAATAACAGCGTTGCTTACTCGGGTGTCCCACAATATACGAGCAATGCTTCGGAGACGCCTATAATCGAAAACCGGCAACCTACGAATATCTTCTACTCTCATTGGCCATGTTTCACAGACATAAAGTAAGACGGAGCGAACTACTGCACAGTACACTCGTCCTTTAGTCAGCAAACGGATATCTCGCCTACGCCATAAGTGACGCAGGTTGGCAAAAGCCAATCGAGCCTTCTGTATCCGAGCTGAGATTTCGTCAGTCACCAGGCCATCGGCACTGATGAGACTCCCAAGATAAGTGAAGCGGTCTACACGTTCGACTACTTCACTCCCTATCACTAGTTCAGATGCCGATGCCTCATGTCACTACAAGCAACATTTACAGCTCAATGGCTAATTCAAACTGTATATTTGACTGAATCATGTCTAAGTCTAAACGAGACTTATTCTAAGGCTAATAATCAGACTGGTTTTTCTATTAACAAGATGGAGAGCAGAAGTTAACAGGTTGAAATAAAGGATTACAAGAAAATCGAAAAAGTGAATGTCAGCAGGATATAGCACCAAAAGCCTGACTTTTGAGAGTGCTGTAAATCAAACTTAGTTACCACTACGAATGTAAATTAATACCAAGACACCAGTCATGCATTCCTACATATAAATTAAGATAATGATGATATTCTTAACAGCAATTATTTCAATAAAGCTTTCTGACTAAAGTCATCAGGCTATACAAAAGAACATACATAGCCAGTGCAGAAACATGGTTATCAGGATTTAATGTACGACACACTGAACTAATAGACTGCGTATAATAATTTATAAGGTATTTTTACTTACTTCGATTTGTTAATTCCAACTTTGTACAAATGTAAATGACTAAACTTCAATATTTCAGTGAATCTTAACTAAATTAATTTCTCTTTAACCATTGAGAAACAGTAAACAAGCACAGTGAATAGTTTAGGTATGTGTCAAAGCAACCCATTTTTTAATCTATACATCAATTGTAAAGATATCAGTACTAGACTACGACACATAACACATTGGAAAGATGAACACACATCATCAAAAAGCTGCTTGATAATGAGTTAGTGGAAATGATTTTCACGAATGTAGCCATATTGACAAAACATCTTTTTTTGATCAAGTTTATTGAATGAAAATATCTGCCGACTACTTGTTCCGTCAGTAAATACTGTATTGTAAAGCTGCTTTACTACTACTACTCAATATTAAATTATCAATATTATTTGAAAGACTGTAGTATGCAAAACTACCAAGCATTAATTCTCCTAATGCTGGTCCTGTAGCATACCATAAACATTTTTTTTAATGTTGCACTAATTCATTGAACACAACAGCAGCAGTAAAACACACAATTTTTCATGTGTACTGCTTTCTGTATGTGCATACTACATATGTGTATTGTATAATTAATTATATGTTAAATATTATAATTTGCTCACATTTTGACGGAATATAATCAGAGTAGGTTTCCGCTTGAGCTAAATCTTCATCTTCATCCATATCTTCATCTCGCTAAAACAAAGCAGGAACATTTAAGATAACTCAAGTTCGTAAACAATACTACAACAACTATAAACATGATCACTTTGGTCGAAACAACTTCATATGATGATCATTGATGAATTTCATGGATACATATTAAAAACTAGATTTATCAATGAATTTTTTTTACTAACGGAGTTTTTTAGAGGCAGAAACGCAATAAAAAACAAAACACAAGATTGTTTTTTATACAATGGGAACATTTTCAGACTTTATTAACAAAACAATACATTGGTATAATAAATGAAAACCAGAATGTGAGTAGATTTAATTGTGGAGAGAAGAGAGGTATGTTTGGGTGTAGGAAGGATTTGATTTTGACCGATTTGGTCTCGTGTGCTGTTACGGGTATGAGGGCGGTTGTCACTTCCCGGCTGCCCACATCGTGGAGGGGTGTTTCTTGAGGAACCTGAAAAAGAAGGTAGATTAGCGTTGGTCTTGGAGACCTGGGTGCGTGACCGCAGAGCCCAGGGGACAACTGCTTGAGGCCGGTCACGCACGACCTTTTGATGAAAGGTTTTTTGAGTATTAGTTCCGCTCTTAACAGCCCTTAGTGGGCACCCTTACCCAAGGAGACGGAAATCCGTGAGGTAGGGTGAGGTGTGACATTTTTAGGGTCGACCTTTTCTAACCCTTCCTTCTTTGTGAGAAGGCAGCATCGCTGCAGATGCTGGTTGTCCGAGGGGAACACCTTACTGCTGTCACACCCCTCTGCAGTCAACAGTACGACTTCGCCCTCAGACCTTCCCCGCCAGGACACCATGTTATGATGAGCTGACCATCTTCAGATTTTCTACTCCATCTCAACATCTGAAAATGATGTGTATGATGTGGAAGCCACTTGGATGACATTCGTGACCATCGAAGTCGGTATTTCAAGGTAGTGTGACACTAATTGATTTACTGTCGCTGTTACTAAACACAAATTATCCAAACCTCCAAAATTAATAATAACACAGCATTGCAACTGAATGTCAGCAATCATTAGGAGACAACGACAATCGAATATAGAGGCCAGGTTTCGCTAACATAGAGTAAAATAGGTCTAACCGATGCAAACTGATGTAGACTCAACCTTTCATAACGAGACCAACATTATGCTGGCCTCGAAGATGGTCCAGATTGGCACAAACCTATCCACTTTTCACCATATGTAGATTGTTGACCTTATCGGTTACGCTGTCACCAGCACACACAAGTACCTGGATACAAAACCCCACCGACTACTTCTAGCAGATAATCACTACTGCTTACTTCCATCAAAACTGTTTGCAGTATACCTTTAATAGCAAAGTTGACGGTGAATGGAAAGATTGAGAAATATATCAATTTCATTGCTCAGATGCAACAGTGGAGATAGATGATTGGTTTCGTGCCGTTAATTTGTGTCTAGTGTTTGTGAGTAGTGACTTCGAAATGTCAACAAACTTTGATCCTATACCATTCGATAACAAACAACATCAGAGCACAATCATGTTTACCGAGTAGCATTAGTAGGTGAGAAATGATACTACTACTAGAAGCAAAAATAGTGCATCGAACCGCCTCATCTACGAGTGTTTAGATCAAGGTCCCTTAAAGTATCCAGGTAATATTGAATAAAATAATAGAAAGAAGTTGGATGGTTGACGTTGGATTTGTCCAGAAACGGTCTACGACTTCATTCCGACCTTCAGCAAATATACCATTTTCAGTTTTATTAAGTGACTTTGTTAAAGAGTAACAGACACCAATCGATTCTTTCTGACCGTAGTGGTTAGATCTCTGGTTGAATTATAGCATACGGTGAATTGTCGTCGGAATTGACTACTTTAAGTGGTGTTCGTCAGGGTTATTCTCTCTCTATTCTTATTTAACTTTGTCACAGACATGCTTTTCGAATCATCTGTTTCGAAATCTGATTACTCAGTGGTTGACCTTCTAACAGAATATTTACTTGCTGACTTAGAAGCTGCAGGTGACACAGTTCCGTCTGGTGAAGACGCCGATAATAAAATGCTGTCTTCTGATCATCTTAAGCAACAATGCTAGCATGTTGTGTTTGAGTAAACGGCATTATTTGATTTTCGGAGGACAGGAAACGTAGTTGAGTGCATCGACTTGCTTCACTCACCCTAGGAGTCTTATCAGTCCTGATGACCTGTTGTTAGAAGAAATCTCATTACAAATACAGAATGCTTGATTGGCTTTTGCCAACTTGCGTCACTTATGGTGCAAACAAGGAATTTGTCTGTAATCAAAAGGACAAGTTTACTGTGCAGCACAGTTTACTTCGTCCTAATTCACAGCTGTGAAACATGGACGCTAAGAAAAGTAAATATACGCAGGCTACTAGTATTTAATCGCATGTGTTTATGAAGCGCTGTTCGTACATACTGGAACTACTGAGTAAGCAGTGGCTGTGATAGGAATAGGATATCAGGTATGGATAACAAACCGATTGATCAAGCGGTGAGTCAACATCAACTAAGGTGATCTAGTGTACAAACAGTCTGGAAAAATCTACAAACGGTAAAACCAGAACATGGTACCAGTTTAAGAAGTTATTCACAATTGAAATGAGCCATGTTAGAGTAGGTAGAGACTACCAACATTCCATCTCTCAGTACTAATGTGTTACAGTGACTTGGACTAACGCACATACGTACCAAGTTCTACGTTGTAACTAACTGACTGAAATCAATTAAAAGGAAATTGATTTACGATTGAAGAAATGTGGTACACGAGCGACACAAAACTTCGGACAGGAGTATGAGATGCAAATTATTACACTCGACACCATAGAGAATTTGGGGGTTGCGAACATTTTAAATGTGTAATAACGGATATCCGAAAGAAAACTGAAAACTTACTTTTATCAATGGGTATGATCTAGGAGTTAGTTGAGTATGATTAGGTAAACGAACACAATGAGGAGGTAGCGATGGTCCTGAAACATTAGGAGTCTCATACCATTTACTTAAGCCAGTTTGAACTGTACTCACATTAGGAAAAGCTGTGATCTGATTGCTAACATCTCTATCAACCGGACCATGATTAAGTACACGTCGGATTTTCGAGACAGGTTGACTAGTTTCAACGAGTGAAGGAGGTCTTTTCCGTATAATATTTGGCACATGAGTAATTCCAGGCATTGTAAGACCATTATCAGTGGGTTTTTTTAACAACTGACTAGCCATTCGGGGAGAATAAGTTTGCTGAACTGGTGAATTGCTGCCATTTCTTGATGGAACAACCCTAAGTATGGTAGTACCTTGGGCATTAAGGACTTTGACGTTAGGATTCACAGTAACTGAAGCTGGAGGAGTGTTGGAGTAAACTTCTTGAGGTTTCAAAGAGGATGGAGCAATTCCAGCGTTTATGAGCGCACTGAGAATTATGTCATTTTGAGAAGCATTAGGAGTTTCATCTGAAGCTTTTTGATTGTATTGTGCGGAAGGTAACTGTGGAGTGTTGTCAGGATACGTGATGTAAGGTCCGGATCTTGGAAAATTACTTGGACCATTAAAGGACGCTTGCAGATTGTCACCTGATTTATCCACACTATCGACATCCTTAGTTGCCAGACCTTTAAGTGCATCTTCGAAAATTGAAGCAGGATCCATATCGCTAGACAAACAAGAACAAACAATAATTAATGCAGGAACGAAAACACTAGTTCATAGTTCATATAACATGAGTGAAGGAAACACTTATCACTTCGTACTGATACTGTGCACGAGAACATTGTCAATAAAATATTTATAATAAAGCTCTGTTTCGTACCGTCCGGATGAATGTATTTAACGTATACAGTTTGTTTGGAGACCCATACATTTACGTAATTTATTTAATACAGGTCGGCAATTGAGATAGACTGAAGAAACTTAAAACTGACCTTTCTATCCCCAAGAAAATTTTAATTGATATGTGTCCTCATGATAGCGAAGCAGTGACGTTATAGATTCTGTGTTAAAGCTCTCAAGCTTAATGCTGCCAACTTGTACCAGAACCGTCCTGTGTCACGAGTTCTAGTATTTTGAATATTCTGGATAAATAACACTTAAAACAGGCAGGAGTGAAAACTGAAGATATATTATAGGTAACCATTAATGACGGCTACATGACTAAATATTCAGTTCGTTTCAATTAATATGAAAATAACAACCTCTCACCAAAAGGCAAATGAAAAGTAACAGTTAACTCTATTAACTGATAAGAAACTGCTATAATTGGTCTTGAAATGTCTATTCTACAGCAAAATAAGTCGTTCAATCTATCCTTTATTCCTTTGGTCTCAACTATATTTCAGAAAAATACAACATCAAATAATAGACTAACCTAACATCCTGTCCTTAAAAGCCAAATCATAACCATTCAGGATGAGTCAGATTACGATCTTGGTCGTATAATGAACCCATTAGCAGAATGGACGCCTTTGGTTTTCGATTAGTATACGAACAAGCCAAGACGGTGAGATGATAAGCACTTAGCATCTAGAAGATGACATCGACTACTAAAAAAAATGTTCTTTCACGACCACAACATAGGTTGAAAGATATACTTAACCAACGAAGCATAGGAATTAGATAATGGGCGTAAACGATAGTCAGAAACCATTTCTGAAGGGAATATGCAATTCTAAATATTGAAGCTAACCCACAAACTAACAGAACAAAGTAGATGGTAAAATTTGAATGCTTTGGTATTGTTCAGTATCACTTAAACAGCCAATGGCATCAAGATCTATTAACATACTGTTTACTACACATCACATGAGATTCAACATGCAATTGGATCGGGCATAATTAGATACTGAACACAGTCCGCAACCGCAAACTTTTGGCTAATCCATACCTCAAATCGTCATACAACTGTTTAGGATTTCAAACTATCTCATGACAATTGTAGCTGCTAGACGCAAGGAAGAACAATTCCTATAAATGGTAAGTGAGTTGATAGCTATCTGATATCTAAGTTCGCCTTAAAAATGTTTACCAACTGTTCACCAGTCTATTTCGTTGCGCTATAACACTAAATACGATTAAATAAAGTTAGAAAGTAACTCGTATCAGTAGTGAAGATTGGAAACAAATGATGAGATAGTCAGTCACCACTGGCTGAGATTATCAGGATATAACGTATGCTCAGTTACCATTTACCCTGGAGGGCGATGAAGAAACTACAAGTGGACAGACCAGGACACAGTATCAGTCAATGAAGTTCTAGGGAGTTGGATCTAGTCTTACAGGTAGGCATAGATTACCTGGTATTGGTTAGCGCGACCAAAAGTCAGAGACCGGGTGATGTGGCTTAAATTCGCCTGGTACGGCAGGTGCACCTAGTCTTTATCTTTTCATGGTCCCTGAATTCGGAAATTTTACGTCTTGTTTTATTTGACACCTTGTCTTTCTAACTAATGATGGCAGTGTTACTACTCATTATACGTGAAAATGTTACCCTACATTATTAATACAGCACGAAACAGAAACTGAAGTACATGGATTAGATCCTGAGTTGTATATATCTGATCAAATCAACAATCGAGAAAGTTGAGAAAACTGAAGAACATTTACATATCACTACTACAGATTTGCGTTAAATTGTTTACAGAGCAGGTGACCATGACAATTAGATGTACATCACACGGATAGCAGTTCAGCAGACTGAAATCAGTTGACAGAAGTAAATCAATAAGTCTTATGAAACCAAACTACTACTCGCTTCTTCCAACTGTGGCTGCTACCTTAACGTGTTGGTCGGGTTTGCCTATCGTGATGACCCAACCGAGCTATATTGGCTGCAATATATGTTCCTGCAGGTTCCACCATGCCAGGCCGGATGCCAGGTGCCGATGCAACCATGCCAGGCAGGTCCATTGGAGAACGATGAGACTAGAAGCAGCTACTCAAAGTCTTATGGAGAAGTCGTACTGTTGACTTCAGAGAAGCGTGACAGCAGTAAGGTGTTTCCCTCGGACAACCAGCATCTGCAGCGATGCCTTCTTCTCACAAGGAAGGAAGGGTTGGAAAAGGTCGACCCTAAAAATGACACACCTCACCCTACCTCACGGATTTCCGTCTCCTTGGGTAAGGGTGCCCACTAAGAGCTGTTAAGAGCGGAAATAATACTCAAAAAACCTTTAATAAAAAGGCCGTATGTAGACGGCCTCAAGCAGTTGTCCCTTGGGCTCTGCCATCACGCTCCCAGGTCTCCAAGACCAACGCTAATCTACCTTCCTTTTCAGGTTCCTTAAGAAACACCCCTCCACGATGTGGGCAGCCGGGAAGTAACATCCGTCCTCAGACAGACAGACAGATACAACGCAGAACTTCGTACATAAGTACATCAGTTCAGGTTGCCATGCCCCATCAGCACAGAGATGCAATTGTCAGTTCAAATCCAACAGTGATAGTAATAATAGAAGTATTAGCAGTAATGGAGAATATTAGGTGATTATCGTCTTGCGGACCCCAACCAGGTAGCCTACATCTACCAACATGACTCAGTCCACTTGTCAGTGACTTCATGCATTTGTGCCATGTTTTGATTTGGCCACCCCTAGCTTTCTTCCAATCTACTCCTACATAGCAAAACATAGCTCGTCGCGGCAGTCGGTGGTTAGCCATAAGTAACACATGTTCCAACCACCTCAACCGCCCTCATACTCATAAAGGCACACGAGAACAAATTTTTCACAATTAAATCGTTCCTACACCTCTTAATAACTCTCTTATCTACTCTATCAACCCTTCTTTCGATCGTTTATCACCGCACGCCACTGAGGCAAACGGTATGAGCTCGTCTCTTGAAACCCCGTACTAAATTACATATAGGAGCTTTTAGTGTTCGACGCCTATACCAAATAGGGCAACAGGCTTCATTAACCAGAACTCTGGGATCCCGGACGATTGATGTATGTTGCGTCTCCGAAGCGCGCATACAAGATCCGAGTAAAATCATCAATTTTATCTCACCTAATGCAGATAGAGACACAACAAGGTCTACGCCTCGTGTTTCTGGAAGCCCTGATGCCGCTTCCCGCGGCCTCGCCGGCGTAGGTATAGTATTAAGTCCTAGGGCAGAACTAGCTCTCTTAGAATTGATCCCGATAGACAGTCGATTGTGCGCTGTCCGACCACAAGGGACGGTACAGACTCGGAAGGATAAGGATAGTTTGTCTAGTTTTAGCAGCCAGATTGACTGAAATCTTAGGTAGAATATGGTGGCTGGACACAATCCCATCCGACTGGTCTCAATCCCTGATTGTCCCAACTTATAAGAAAGGACAAAAGTCTTCTTGTGACAATCACAGGGGAATAAGTCTAACTGATATAGTGTCTAAATTGTTGGCCTCGATTATAATTAGACGCCTAACTAGAGCTCGTGAAGAGCAGACTCGAGAAAACCAGTCTGGTTTCAGATCTGAACGTGGCTGTATAGACCACATCTTCACACTACGACACGTGCTGGAACACAGACACACATTTAGACGTCCGACAACAGTTATCTTCCTGGACCTTAAGGCGGCATTTGACTCTGTGGAAACAGATAATGTTGTATGGCAACATGCATTGATGTACTTAGGTACGAAGTTCTACGTTGTAATTGACTGACTGAAACAAACATAATAGGCAAGATAGAATAACTGAGTGATTTGAGATGTCAATGATAACTAGCAGGTCTCAAGATATGCATCATGAACAGCTTGTCCAAGACGGAGATGATAGTCCGTATGTGAGTACGTGATTATCAAGTCTCTTCTTAAAGCAGTCCACTGAGAGGGCTGTCGTCACCTCGGTTGGGAGAGCATTCCAAGTTGCGACCACTCTCAATGAGAAAAAGAGTGAACGAACCTGAGTATTCGCTATTTGATGAGAAATTTTTCGAGGATTGCCTCAAGAGGAGTGATGGTTATTTATCGGTAAGATGCTCACATTGGGATGGTTTGGCGTGCGTAATATGTTGTACACCATAATCAGATCACCTCTGATTCTGTGACTAAAGGGAGTTTATCTTCATAAGGTTTGTTCTTCAACCCTATCACCCACTTAGTTGCTCATCTCTGCACTTGATCCAAGAGACATATCTCTTTTAAGCAAAGGGGGTGCAATGACGTTGTGAACTTCCAGCTGTGGGCGAGCATATGTCTCAATGTTAAGTATAATTCTTGGATGATAGCACCAAGTTGTCTTCGATTAAAGTGGAGTCGCATTTGCCTTGATTGCATCCCCTATTTAGTTCGGAATCGTGTGGAGGCTTTCTGTGGTTATTTAACCGGGATCGCGCCCTGATGAGACTTTACGGAGCGTACTTCCATTGATGGTGTGAATCGTTCGCGTCATGTGGGGCAGCATGTACGTGATGTGGCACTTCAGTTGGTTGAGTCTTAAACCGTTTTTCACTGCCCACTCCTCAATAGATGTAGGGTCGTTTTGAAGCTCAGTCGAATCCTCTTCCCTTCTAATGGACCTCCAGATCTTCGCATCGTCTGTGTAGATCAATGCAGGTGAGCTAGCTGAGCCTAATAAATAGTTAATAAATATCAGGAAGAGGAGTGGACCTAAGATGGTCGCCTCTGAAGCTCCCTATGTGGATACTCGCCAGCTCGCGAGCACTCTACTTACCTTGGTATAAAACTCTCCGTTCTCAAGGTTGTTTCTGAGCCAAGATACGAGTGGGTCAGTGAAGCCCATTTCTACAACCTTTGAGACTAGGTGTACGTGGGGTACTGTGTCGCAGGCTTTTGCAACGTCGAGAAATATTATGTGCACCGGTATTTTTCGGTCCAATCATGATGTTTAACTGTCCCATGCTGAGATTAGATGCGCACGACCTGCCTTTCTGAAACCCGTGTTGAGCTTCATGGCGTATTTTATTCTTATCCATGTACTCCCTCGTTTGTTCGTTCACCAACCCTTCCGTTACTTTTGATAGTTTTGGTAGTAATGCGACTGGTCAGTAACAGGCAGGGTCTTTTCCATCTGTTCCTTGGAAGATTGCAGAGAGTAGCTTGTTTTCATTCAACTGGGAGTTGGTGATTTCAGCGAATGCCTGAACAGATAACATATCGGTGAACAGAGGGTGTCTGCACATTGTTTCAAGACTAAGGGGCGAATATGGTCACAACCTAATGACCTTCCTGTCCGTAAGAATTTTAGTTTTCTTAGTATTAAGTTCGTAGAAATCTTCTAAATGTTAGGACTCAGGAGTAAATGAAAATTCCTCGCTGATCAGTAGGACCGTTTCTAAATGAACCTCGTGACTAATTTAGAAAGTTGGCAACGGAGGTATCCAAAGTATAAGATTAGTTAAATGAACTAGTCTCACTGACGCACAATTATCTCCTCGTGGACCCTCCCTCTCAGATAGCTCTTCGCGGCATGAGATTTTTTCTGGAGAGGTGTAACCTCATCAATGTTTTTGGATCTCACAAAAAACGACTTCCATGTACTACCAAAAATTGATAAGACACCTTCATTATCTAAGCTATGCACAATTAAGGAACACTGGAATGCTCTGTCATTGTAAATTTAGATATTGTCTTTGCTTATATAAAACAAGCAAAATCATATCACAACAAGAACTACTTACTCCAAAAACGTGCGAGGATTACTCGGACGAGCGATTGTAACTCCTGTTCAATTTAGCCGCAACAAAAACTGCTTCAATATCCAATATCTTATTCATGAGCTTGTGTAAGCCAGTTGATTTCCTTGCGCTGGCTGCTCATTGTTTCGTTACTGTCCTAGGTATTCTTTAATGTCCGACGGATGGTAAACCAGCCGATTGTATGCACTAATTATAGTCAGTTGGCAGTCATTTATGAGTCTGTAAGTCCACAAATTTGAGTGAGTACCTTTATCTCAGAGTAGTGGGGTTTCTGGATACCAGCAGCTATCAAGTTACCAGTCCGCGGATTATTCGATTACAATATAAAGAAAAATAAAGGGAAAACTGCAATGCTATGAGGGATATATCAGGAACTAAGTAAGAAATTAGTTTACTGTTAGTCTGCCCTCGAAAATTCCTTCTCTACATATTACAGGTAAATGAAAACGGTCGATCAATCCTTTCGTTACTTTTAGGGGGAGGTTTTTTGGAACTGCGTGATTTGGTTTGAGCGTTAGATATGATCAATAATGTGACTGATTGCAAGGAATTTAGTGCTACATCACTAAACATGTTTTACAATACATTCATTCATTTATTCCCTTTAGGTCATTCAATTTTATAAACTTTCTTCTCACACAATGAGGTGAAGTTTATTCTCACTGTACACTGAACTCAGCTAGACAACATTGGTGAAACCTGAGTTTATTAGACAGACGTATGAAATTCATCATTTTGGAATGTTCAACACTGTAGATCATATATTTCTGAAGTTTGGTTGTACGAGGTTTGGTGATCGATTTCACACAAACATACCACAACTAATTAACATAAATTATATGATTTCATTCCTCTAACAGTTACAGTTTCTAATTCGGTGATAGTATAGACCCGATCAATCCGTTTTCGTGTTTTGACATTTAAGGATAAACGTGTTTAATGATGTTAGTTTTATCTGTGGAAGACAAATCGAATTATGTTGACGTATGTGTTTTCCAAAATCTATTTGAAATGTATGATGATTAAGGTGAAGGTGATGACAGTATGTCTGTTTATAAATCAGAAGTAAGAGTTTTTAGAACAATAAAACAGTTGATGAACAGGAAGCAACAAATGAAGCTCGAGTTGTCAACAAAAGTCTTCTACAGGGAACCGTGTCAGTAGTAACGTGCCAGGTTTGCCGCTTGAGTTGGCGTACCACACCAGCCTGGTACGTATCCGGAGTCTGAAGACTGCGTTCTCAGGGGTTCGGACAGAAAACGCCGGAGATCTAGGACGGAATCACATTAAGCGATGGAGCCCGAAACGACCAGACCGACCGTCTTCGAAACTATACGTATCCAAGATATATTCGGAACCAGAACATCGACAGAGTGCATTCACAAGAGCGTGGGTGATCAGACCAGCTCCCACCAAGAGTGCCTGCAGTCGAGGGTACCAATAGGGCGGTGGTCGTGGGCTCAGGATAGAAAATCAAAGAAAAAGAAGAAGGTGCGGCATCCATGTAGTATGAGGATAAAGTCCTATATCGTGTCCGTTAATAATTAAGACATTAGACGCGAAAGCGTACAGGTAGGCGTACGCGAAGAACTGAATGCTAGACGGTAGTCTCGTGCGTACCTTATGAGCCTGCAATCTCATCCGAAGGCAAGGGCGGCGTGGTGTGCTGACCTGGACGTGAGACCGGAGTCTCATTCGTAGATAGTACAGACCGGGACCTGAGAATTAGGTCTCTGATATATCTAGCGCATGATCTGGAGAAGAAATAGGGATCCCGCTAGTGAGGTAAACGAACCCAGCATTGAACTCGATTTATCGGGTATGGCACTGTCATTCAGGTGTGCTGGTTTGAGACGATCAATGCTGACTGTGTCGATTATCCTTGAAGGTCTTTTCGTGGTCAGAGACCATGTGAAAAGTTCCTTCGTAAGGCTGGCACTGGGTTTGCGTAGTATTCTGAACATGTGGATGCTTGGTTTAACTGATCGGTAAAGTTTGTGTCGAAGATTTCAGCCATCTCTAGGTTGGTGAGGTCTTTATCATTCGGTTTTTTGAAAGAAAGGATCGGAGAGGACAATTCGGCCGATGGTTTTTGGGATGGGAGGAGGATGTCTTCAGCAGGTAGCGCAGAGTCTAGATGCTGATGACCTAAAAGTGATTTATAAAACTAACAAATCTGACTTAAAAAATTCGTTGCAAACAATCCAGCATGAACTCAGTACTGTAGACGGAGACATATTCCGAAATTGATCTCACTCTCAACAGGAATGTACTGCCCGAACTCACATCCGTAACTGGTCCAGGAGTACATTATTCGCACAGCCTTAACTTCTCTGAACATAACTCCAAAAAAGTTTCCCGAATGAGAAGAATGTTTGGTTTCATCTTTCGTAACTTCCCTCATGGAGAATCCAAAATAATTCTCTGCAAGACATGTGCAAGACAGATAGCTGAATACTGCTCTTTCTTACTTTCCAACTTACGCCTGTCTGATATATTGAGGCTCAAAGACTCGAGAAAACTTCTTCCTCATTAAGTATGCACTTATATGGAATAGTCTTCTCTCAACAATGTGCATGGCAAGTGGGTTACATGGGTTTGTATAACTCGTGGAGAAATCTAATGCTGATTGACATTCATTCTTCTATACGTTAAGATTCACAACAAACTCCATAATTACACTAACAAATTAGGTTGTTCTTAATGCATTATTTCACAGAAATTTGATCATATCACCGTATCTTATAGATAGGTCAAAGTCACAGTATTAATTTTTTCAAGCAGAAATCACGTTATTCTGACTATGACTAACACCTATTCAGACACGTTACTTCTTGTAGAGTATGGCCGCCGATCAGGACTCGCAAATCGACCTCGTCGATGTCGTTTAGCTTCACTCATAATGTCTATTGTATACCGTGCGTTTCGTGAGATATCTAGGTTTCTTTATCCAGTCAACCACTAGAAGGAAGAAAAAGGGGGAAAGTGAGAGGCTTTCCTCAACAATGGACCTCAACCCGAGTGAACATCCCAGCTATTCTCCACGCGAAATATGACAGAGCAGTACATCATAAGAATTACTTCTAATTCTGTAAAACTACTCAGGTACACCATAGTGTAGTCAACTCCATTATATTATCCCGTCCTGTCAATTCTGTTGCTGGAGTCTGTAGTTTTTGACTCACTACTAACCCTGGAATTCATACCTCTACTAGATTTCCTATTTTTAATAGAGTAAGAACTGGCAGATACGCTACTATTGACCATGTTTACTGAATAGACGAGATAATTTGAAAAGAAAAATACTTGAGCTGTAAGTTTTTATGAGGAAAAATAATGATATTAGATTGAGCGAATATACTCCACGCAAAAATGGGACCTAAAAGACACCCGAAATCGCAACGTTACCGTTGACGGCCCTGGATCCAGTAACTTTTCCACGGGTCCTGTATTTGCGAGTTAATGAGTGTGAGTATACTACCGAAGCAGCTAGGAAGAGGTCAGTTCATTGGGAAAGCTAGACATACTGCACTAAGACAGTAGTTGATAGAGACAGCTAGACGGACCGCACAGAGGTTCTGAATGAGAATGAAAATGTTTTTCGTCACTGTTACTTCGGCTGTCTATCAATGAGTTGAGATAAGGCTTATTTCCTCCGGAATGTCTCAATGTCTCACTCTGTTGTCAAAAGCTCAACTGTTTTCTTGTAAATGCTGAGAGATCAACCTTCAGAATGTCGGAAACGAAACCCAAACATCGAAGAAAGAGACTAGTAAATCGACTGGCTCAAATTAACTCATAACAAGTACATTATATATATTTGTTTAAACAAATCAGGGGTTCGATAAGACTTACTCGGTGTCAATACAAATAGCATGGAAAGTGTGATAACTGAACTTCGGCAGTTGGGTGAGCGATTTGTGACTTATGTCCAGCATTTGAAGCTTTTAAAAAATGAAGAAGATGTCAGTTCACTTAAAAAGGCAATATGCATCTTGGAGAACGATCTTAAGGTGCTCCGAATGTCGTATGAATGTCAAATAAATCACTTGGTTACAACACTAAATGTCGTATTGGAAGAGAAAAAAGACCTAGAGGGAGAAATTCTAGTAAGGAAAGAAAATGACGCTCATTTTATGGATAGGTTTACTTGTTTAAGATTGGTATATGTTTTGCAGGATTTCAGTTGAATCATTAAAAAATGCTAAGCTTCTTCAAGAGATAAGTCGTCTTAAAACTGAAGTCGCTGATAAAACTAATCAAATCACCTCTCTGAAATTGCGTATACAAGAGTTAGATACAGATAAAGAGGAAAAAGATTCCGTGAAATTGAAGCTTACTGAGGAAATCAATCTCCTAAAACAAAAGTATTTTATGTTGATACTTATCTAGAATTGAAGACTTTCAATGTCTGAAGATTTATACAATGAGACTGCTAATCAGCTCCAAAGTGCATTGCTGAAACTAGACTCTCAGAAGATGTTTGCGAAGGAGGTGAGTTATCTTCCATTTAATGTATTCATCAAATTTCAAGGTTTGTGTTGTTTTCAGAAACTAAATACTCTTATTTTGTAGCGTCTAAGTCGCAGTCAAAACAGAATACAATGGTTTATTTCACAAATTGCTGCAAAGGATCTCCAAGTTGAAGAATCTCGAAGGAAGGAAGCCTCCATTTCCACTGTCATCACTCAACTACGTGCCAAAGCCCAGGAAGAACTTATTCACTACCGTCAGCAAGCTTCAGAAATTTACAAAAAACCAGTAGGCTTGAGCTGATATTTTTTTCAACTCTCATGCACTTGCATTTTCACATAACTTCTAAAATAATTTTCATATTGTGTTTCTAGATGTCTACTTTGCAAAATCAGTTGGTTTCAGAGAGGAAAGAAAATCAATTACTAAAGACTAAATGTCTGAAGAATGATCAGACAATTCTTGATTTGCAACGACAAGTCGCTGAGTTAAATTCAAAAGTTTGTCTTCTCAAAATGCTTTTATTTCTTAGGTTTGCAGTAGTGAAAGTCATACTGAACTTTTGAAGAATGCTTTGGAAAGTTTGGGAAAAGAGTACAGTCGCTTAAGGACTAAATATGAGGATAAAATTCAGAAATTAGAAGCGTCTGTAGCTTCTAATGCTTCAGACTTTGACTTGATGCGAAGTAAAGAACATGAAATTATGGAAGAGTTGTCGAAATTTAAAAAGATGTTGGATTCAGACGAAGACGGTTTCCACTTACTAACACCTGAGAAACAAATGGATTTGGCAAATGTAAAAATAGATAATCAAGAAAGTTTGGAATGTCTAGAAAATGAAGAGAAGTAAGTGGTTTGAGTTAAATCTGGTGTGCTTTAATATCCTGATACCTCTTAATAAGTAGTTATGTTATACAATGAAATAAAGATAAAGATTAATGTCCTGTTACCTTCTAAAGAAATCGATCTTTGCAATGTTAACTGGTGAAACACTGTTAATCTTTTGATAAATTTGTTTGTTTGAGATGTAAGTGATTGGAAATATATATTTAAACCATTATGATTAATAGAAATGTGAGTTCAATGGTTGATTATTTTACTGAGCTAACCCTTAACAAGTAGTTAAATGACGCAAAACATGTTCTTTCTATCAATGTTTTCAAAGCTAGTTTGCGTTAATACCTGTTTCCAATGATATCCTCACTTATACTCTCTAGAATGACAATCAGTTAGACTTATATTAATTGCAGCAAATACAAATATCTTATCACATCAGGAAGAGAAATAGATGTGTTCTTATTGTTGGAACTTTTTAATCACTTTAGTGAACTGATTCATGTTAGTAGGTGTAGACTGTCTGATTGGGATCCGCTAGATACTCATAACTGATGATCGGAGACTTTGAATGACATAGCTTACAATCGCTTGTACTGGTTTAGGTACGTACATTCTCTGTATCCTCTCAAATTCTAACCTTTTGAATACCTCATGACTTTTCCTTTTTTCTTATCCTAAATTTATTTCACTAGTTTGTAACTACCCGATTATATTTTCGTTGCCTAATCTTTTCGATCATCGCTAATACTACTACTACTACTACTACATCGAATATTATGGAATTTGAATTAAAAACCCCATTTATCTGTGCTAATGTGGTATGGCGACTTGGACTGATATATGTAATACGTTGTAGCTGACTAACTGATTCACGTCTGCGTAAGCCTTTCGGTCGTTTAATTAAGATAGCCTGGGAATCCCTGTATCTCAAGTGAAACTTGAATTTGATTGAGTCATCTGATTTGTCTGATGTCAGAGTTTGTCAATAATTTTACTCTACATGAATACTATGATATGAGAAATTCGAGTCAGGAGAAGACACATTAAAATTTTCCCGTTTAGTATTATTCTTAGTGACTTTTAGCACAGCCAAAATGTTTTTGTTTTTCAGAATCGAATTCGATAGAAACGATGCTCCAAAACCTACCTCATTTGTAGATTTTGCTGATCCATCAAAAAGTGCTCACTCCGTCATGATCACATCGGATAATGAACTCCATGATACTTCTCACACAAACTATGATCAAGAAAACTTTGATATTAAGAAGTATGATCAAAAGTCTTCGAAAATTACAACTATCGATTTGAAAATCGATAACTCAATACCTGGTAGTCCAACATCATTGTCGTCTTTATCTGGGTCTAAGTAAGTGTTTTCATTTTGTACACTCATCCGTAAATAAGTAATTTTAGATGATTATAGAAGGGTTTACGCCGAAAACTAACTCATGTTAATGCATGATTTAAAATAAGACCTTATCATTTTTTGTTGCTCCAGGTAGACTGGTAGATCATTGAACAGATATCGGACGCATCAAATATAATATATATTTTCTTATTTTCACATAGAATTCTTAATGCACAAATATTTATGCCCACAAAAATCACTGAGTTTATGATTGGGTTAAGGTCCTGTGCGATTGTTCAAATCAAAGTAGGTTGTTTTCTAAACTGGCCAGACCATGAGTCTTATAACTTACAGTTTTATACCACATGGTAGTGGAGAAACGTTATGCGTTGCAGTATCATGTTGAGCAGTGACCGACATTTCGTTCATACAACATTTGTTTGCTTGTGATCCTTAATCCCATGGGCACCAGTAGGTTGAGGTGAGAGTTTTCCAACTTTATTAGGTAAGTCTTCCATACTCGAAAACTCGGTTTATACTCTACTCAATTTCGTTAGTAACACTCCTGTTACTAGAGGGTAGTGAGTAGGAGTTTTCTGGTAGTGCATTCATACACATGATCATATGATAGGATTTTAAGAAAGAAAGAAAGAGGGTGAAATAACTGGCCTCACCTTCAGTCATACCAGGATATTTAGGGTCAACTTCAAAGTCATTGATTCAGTAACTTCATTCCCTATGCGCAACAATATATTTTTAGGCTTCGAAAAACTGTACCTAAGATTTTTATATCTCGTAACTGTATGACACAATAATTGTAAGCTATATTTAGAAAGTAATGAATCAATCAACCTCTGCCATGTAATTAATTTTCGACAATCATATGGAACTGTCAACTGTGTTTTTGATATTCTTACCACTTTATTCACTGATAATTTCGATTGATTATGGATAGTTTTATTTGATTGATTGATGAAAACAATTGATTAGGAATATTTTATGGTGAAAATCATGAATCGATCATTGTCAGACCACCATAAGAAACCATGAACCATTGGATGGCCGTTTCGTCCTAGTATGGAACTCATCAACAGTGCGCATTCAACACTCTTGCCACTAGCAAGAATCAAACCCCAGTACCTTCCTTCGATCCTACGCGCGAACTCTTAACCTGTAGACCACTGAGCCATCAGCCAACAGCGTTCATGTCTAACTTTTGATCAATCTAAAGAGTTTGCACTACTTCACCCATTGACTTCAGTAGTTACTGCCTACATCCGACAGCGTTGAACTCTTCCAGTGGCGAATTTTTTTTGTGTGTTCTAATATTAAACAACCATTTATATTTGAACTCTCTGCTGCCACTGATATGATCTATTTTAGATAATTTTTTAAGTCACTAACCTGTTAGTCTATTGAAAAAAAAAACAACTCAGAATTCCACAACAAAATCAGTGACTTAAAAATTGAAGGATGAAAATTTTTTATTCTTTAATTTTAAGTCGAGACAGAATACGATACCATTTTCAACGTATTTTGTTTTCGAGAGTTTTGCTTCTTAAACAGAGTATTACTTATGTCTATTATCCCTAATAGAGCGTAGGCAGATGAGTAACATTCTCTGTCCTACGTTTTTCTTTCCAGTTATACTCAATTGCTGTTCATTATTTGCATGTTTGCTTCCAATTTTCGGCGTAATGTGTCCTTTGGTCATCGACTTTTAAATTGGTCCTGAAGATTCTAAGTTAGGGCTTGTCTTGTTACACAGTTTGGTGATTTCCACAATGTGCGTCTTATCCAATTCCAGCGTTTCTTCCTCTGTTGGGATCTGGTTTGTAAGTTGATGCTGATGATGTCTGGCCAACGGATTTTAGGTATTTTGCCTTTTACAACGGTTAATAAATACTTGTATCTTCTGGATGATAGATTTCATAGTTCTCCAATTTTCTTGTCCAAACAACAGAACTGTCTTGACATTTGTATTGAAAATTGTGACTTTGGTGCTGGTTGACAGTTATTTCGAGTCCCAGATATTCTTCAATTGTAGAAATATTTGCCACTGCCTTGCTAATCTGTGTCTTTACATTGCCATTGAAATTAGCTTGTTTACTACTGATGTTTCCACCTCGTCCATAGCTCTTCCATTAAATGTGATTTGGTTGGTGCATGTTGTGTTAGATTGAAAGATCTTGCTTTTTCTCTTGTGTATGGTAGGATCTATTTCTACAGAGGCTTCTGCTACACTGGCCGTCTTAACCTACATTTGTTGTTGCATATGAGATAGAACAACTAGATCATATGAAAAGTTCAAATCTTCCAGCTGCATCTGAGTTGTTCTCTGTGTTTCATGCTTTCACTGAGATGTTGACGTCTTCACAATCCATTCGACCATTAGGAGAAATAGAAAGGGTGAAAGTAAGCAACCTTGCCTGACACCAGTCTTAAAATAGTAAATCCCTTAAAAAAAATTCCGATCATTAAGCAAACTGATATCGCACTTTCAAGAAATTTTACTAACCTCTAAGGACCGTTCAAAGTGGAATGAGTTTTTTTCTCTTTTCTAGTATATGAAGTGTCTCATGGTTAAAAAACAAATTACATAACATGATAATTTTTTATTTGTGTCTTTTATTGTCCATTCTTTGAGCTCTCTCAAATCCTAATCTTCTGGATTCGTCAGCACCTCTACCTTTGTCTTTCTAACCTTATTTCACTTAATTATACTCGTTGAATAATATCTTCAAACCCTAGTCTTCTTCATTACCATTAATACCTCTACTATCTTTATCACTACGGGATCTGGTTTGACATTTGTGTCTCTGTGTTAATAATGTGGTATGGCAACCTGAACTTATGTACATACGTACGAAGTTCTACGTTGCAACTGACTGACTGACTGAATTAATTAGGAGGAATCTTAAGTGTTCGGGCTTGTGACCAAAGCTTCTGGGATTGATTTTCTGCTTACGGAGGTCACAAATGCTCATTGCCGAATAGGTCTCATGCTAGGATGAAACATTTAAGTCCTTTAAAAAGAGTAAAAGCATATTCCATTTCTTAAAATCCGAATAAATTAGTGAAGAGTATATATAAAATATCTCTATGAAAATGATTATGGTATTTAATGTAGAAAGTAGCCTACTTACTTACTTTACTTATTTACTTACTTACCTACTTACTTACTCCTTTTACTTCTAATGGAGCATGAGCCACCGATCAGCAAATCATTTTTCTGGTTAGTTTCTTTTTAAGCGAATTGAAATTTTTACGAGTTGAGGTCGCTTCAACCCCATTCCAAACCGTCTTCCTTTTTAGCCGACCTTCGGACTGGTAGTAACCCTAGAATTAGAGCTCTAGGTGGAGTTAGAAATTAAATTAACTGTGTCTGTATATTCATTCCAATTCATTCCACTTAGCTTCTTTAATAAGAATAATTTCTCAGTTATAATCAAAGCAATAATATATCACAAAGATTCTTGTGAAATTTCAGTTTGTTCAATTAATCGAATCATAAAATGCATTCATCTGTTTTGTGTGTAGAATACTAATCAATATTGATTATTTAGTGTTCATTCAAAGAGTAAGGACAATCTCTCTTTTTTTTTGAAAAAAAAATTTTTATTGTTAATAAACACTACACCAAATTGTTTCTCTTTTAATAAACGACATGAAGTGACGCTTTCTCAGTACACTAATCACGTGATTGAAAGAATAGTATTTTAGTTATTAGTATGTTAGAGTGTATGATTGATTTTTCTGTCAAATTTCAAAGGTGATTTCTTTAAAAATTCAAAATTAATGCTATTACTGCGATAATCAATCATCATTATCCACGACTCCTGTATCTCGTAGGATTCGAACCCGGGACCTTCGGTATTATACGCGAACGCCTAACCTCTGGATCACTGGGCATTCAGCATTCAACGGTGTTAATATCTAACTCTAATTGATCTAGGCATTTTGCGCGACCTCACCCATTTGTGTTTGGTCGTTATCAATATTCACAAAAAAGTTTTACTATTCATCAAAAAAGACTATTTATTGAATGAATACCTGTTAAACTTGTAACACAACAGTTAATTGATGAATTCAATTCAGATAGGAAAAGTTCAATAAATTGTGCAGAAATTTAGTGACATTGAATGAATGAATGAATATATGTTTGCTTAAAAGGATAATTGTATTTGCAAAATCTCACCGATTGAACTTTACATTCACTTAATTCCCAACTGCTGTAAATCTATTCATTCAAATTTACACAAAAGTATTTGCATTACAGGGTTGTGAAGATTGTTAAGTTACCCTTTTTTAAACCATGAATCGATCAATGTTAGATCACCATTAGAAACCTGGAAGCAGTGGACGGCCGTTTCGTCCTGGTTTGGGACTCCTCAGGCGTGCTCACTAGTGACTAGCTTCGTGAAGAATCTTCTCCGAGTTCTAGTGATGGGAAAACGTGACCAGTGAAGTTCAACCTGTTCGGGTGTAGACAGTTACTACTACCGAAGACTGTGTATGAGGTTGCGCAACTCCGTGAATTGATCAAGCTAGACACTAACACCGTTAGATACCGGCTCAGTGGTACGATGGTTAAGCGTTCGCGCACAATACTGAAGGTCCTGGGTTCGAATCCCGCGGGGTGCCTGAATCGTGGATGCGCACTGCTGAGGAGTCCCATACCAGGACAAAACGGCCTTCTCTCAGTGCTTCCAGGTTTCCATTAGTGGTCTAAGATTGATTGATTCATGGTTTCAAAAAATGTGTGACAAAAGTATTTGTCTAAATGTTTTAATGTTGACTGTAAATGATCATTATTAATTTGACGTCATTTATTTACCTCATCAGTCAGTCAGTCAGTCAGTTGCAACTTAGAACTTCGTACGTAAGTACATCAGTTCATGTCGCCATACCACATCAGCACAGAGATAAAATTGTCAATTCAAATCCAATAGTAGAAGAGGTAGTAAAGGTATTAGAAGTAATCGGAAAGGGTAGGATTAGAAGATATTATTCACGAAGTATGATTCAATGAGATAAGTTTAGAAAGTAAAACCTGGAGGTGTTGAAGAATTCAGAAGATTAGGATTTGAGAGAACACAAAGAATAAATGCACTGGCGCCATTGCGAACGATTTTGAGCCATGTCATTCAAGGTCTCTAGCCATCGATTATCATCATCTCGCGGACCCCAACCAGGTAGTCGACAATTACCGACATGGCTAAGTCCACTCGTCAATGACTTCATGGAATTCTGCCATGTTTTGGTCTGGCCGCCCCTAGCTTTCTTCCAACCTATTCCTACACTACAAAACAAAGCTCGACGAGGGAGTCGCTGGTTAGGCATACGCAACACGTGTCCCAACCACCTCAACTGATGAAGTTTCACCACTTCATCTATTGATCTGCCATTCTTACCTAGTACCCGTTTCCTAATAACAGCGTTGCTCACTCAGGTGTCCCAGGATATACGAGCAATGCTTCGAAGACATCTATGATCGAAAACCAATAACCGACGAGTATCTTCTACTCTCATTGGCCATGTTTCACAGCCATAAAGTAAGACGGAGCGAACTACTGCGCAGTACACTCGTCCTTTAGTCAGCAGACCGATATCTCGCCTACGCCATAAGTGACGCAAGTTGGCAAAAGCCAATCGAGCCTTCTGTATCCGTGCCGAGATTCCGTCAGTCACCAGGCCATCGGCACTGATGAGACTCCCAAGATAAGTGAAGCGGTCTACACGTTCGACCACTTCACTCCCTATCACTAGTTCAGGTGCCGATGAAACCCAATCTTGAAGCAACATTTTGCATTTCGAGGGGGAAAACCGCATCCCGAACATGCTTGCATTGTTGCTCAAGGTAGTCAGAAGACTCTGCATTTTGTCAGCGTCTTCACCAAGTAGGACTATGTCATCGGCATATTCTATGTCAATAAGCGAGCCACCTGGTAAAAGGTCTAATCCTGAAAATTCAGACGAGGATAAGGTTATTTCTAGGAGCATGTCTATGATAAAATTAAACAAGAATGGAGAGAGTGGACATCCCTGACGGACACCACTTGACGTAAAGAATTCCGGTGACAGTTCGCCATAAGCTCTCACTCGATCAGTGATGTTTGAGTAGAGAGCTTGTATAAGGTTAATGTACTTATTTGGTACACCTTTCAATGACAGACCCTGCCACAGAACCTCACGATCTACAGAGTCAAATGCCGCCTTAAGGTCCAGGAAAACAACTATTGTAGGACGCCTAAATGTGTGTCTGTGTTCCAGGACCTGTCGTAGTGTGAAGACGTGGTCTATACAACCACGTCCAGGTCGAAAACCAGATTGGTTTTCTCGAGTCTGCTCTTCACGAGCTTTCGTTAAGCGTCGAAGTATTATTGAGGCCAGTATTTTAGATACTATATTAGTTAGACTTATTCGCCTGTGATTGTCACAAGAAGACTTTTGTCCTTTCTTATAGATTGGGACAATCAGTGATTGAGACCAGTCGGATGGGATTACGTCCAGTTCCCAGATTCTACCTAAGATCTCAGTCAATCTAGCTGCTAAAACTGGACCACCATCCTTAAATATCTCAGGGGTCAGTCTATCAGGACCTGCAGCTCGTCCTCGTTTCAGATTTCCTAACGCTTTTTCAACTTCATTAAGACTAGGGGGACTTACGTCGATTTGCCATTCAGGATGACTGGAGATCGTGGGTAACCGAAGAGTGGCTCGAGGCCAGTTGAACTGATCCCTAAAGTGTTCTGCCCATCGATCCAGTCTCCTGGATTGAGAATAAATAATAGTCCCGTCATTTTCTGAGATAGTCTCACTTACACTAGGATTCCTAATACCAGTTTCCTTGATAAGTCGGAAAAGTTGTCTACTGTTGCCGATCGCCGCTGCCTTTTCCATCGCTTTTGCTTTCGCCACCCACCACTGTTCGCGATCGTTACGTAGGCTTTTTATAAGTCTGCGCCTAATTTGACTTCGTTCTTCATCATGTTCAGAGCCAGGTGGGATGAGTTTTCGGGCATCCATCAGATCGGTGGATGCTACTGAGATCCACGGTTTCATTCTGGCCTTATGGTCAACCTTGCTAGCAGATATCACTGCTGTTTCCACAGCCTTTTTGATATCATTCCATCCTGCTTCCGGATGGGAATCGCTTAAATGGTCGCCTAACTGTCTTTCTAGTTGTTCCTGAAATATATTTTTCGCCTTATTATCATTAAGTAAAACCCTAAGAGGCTTTCTTACGGTGTCTTTCCTACGCCCAGTAAGCTTCAAACAAATACGTGCTCGCACTAGGGCATGATCTGAATCTAGACATGTGCTCCAGAACGAGCGACAGTCCTCTATCGAACCCCTCCATCGGTGGCTGATGGCGATGTGATCTAGTTGAGTCCAACGTTGAGACGACTTTGGAGGTCGCCAGGTCAACAGATGCTTTTCCTTATGCCTAAAGTTAGTGTTTGCTAAGAATAGGCGGTTGTCTGAGCATAGTTGCAACAGACGGTCACCATTGTCTGTTCTCTGAGCCGGGACACCATAACATCCACCTAGGTGTCTCTCCTGCTCACTTAGTCTGCCTACTTGAGCATTAAAGTCACCAGCCATTATTACAATATCAGAGCGCCTAGCTTTTTGGAGGAGGTCCGCAAGCTTTCTGTAAAACTCATCTTTAACCTCGTCTGCACTGCAGTCAGTGGGGGCATAGGCAGATACGATGAAGAGTCAACGGCGAGTGTCCCTATCTTTCCGAGTCCTTACTGTCCCGTTTAGTCGGACAGCGCACAATCGACTATCTATTGGGATCCAGTCAAGGAGGGATTGTTCTGCCCTAGGACTCAACGCTATGCCTACGCCAGCAAGACCCCGGGAAGCAGCATCAGGGCTACCGGATACACGAAGAGTAAATCGAGCTGCTTCTTTATTTTGATATGGTGTGGCCAAGTGTATGAGGTGACTCGGATCCTGTATGCGCGTTTCCGAGACGCAGCATACATCGATGGCACGAGATTCCAAAGTCCTCGCTAATGATGCCTGTTGCCCTATTTGACACAATGTCCGTACATTAAATGCTCCAACATGTAGTCTAGAGTGAGGTTTAAGGAGACCAGGAACGACGTTTCGCGAACTCGTATCGTCTGCATTAGCTGTGCACTGTGATGAATGAATGTGAGAAGAGTTAGTCGTGGAGATAAGAGAGGTACTAGGGGGTGTAGGAAGGATTTGATTTTGACCAATTCGGTCTCGCGTGCTGTTATGGGTATGAGGGCGGTTGTCACTTCCCGGCTGCCCACACCGTGGAAGGTTGTTTCTTGAGGAACCTGAAAAGGAAGATAGATTAGTGTTGGTGCGTGACCGCAGAGCCCAAGGGACAACTGCTTGAGGCCGGTCACGCACGGCCTTTTTATGAAATGTTTTTTGAGGATTAGCTCCGTTCTTAAAGGCCCTTAGTGGGCACCCTTACCCAAGGAGACGGAAATCCGTGAGGTAGGGGAGGTGTGACATTTTTAGGGCCGACCTTTTCTAACCCTTCCTTCCTTGTGAGAAGGCAGCATCGCTGCAGATGCTGGTTGTCTGAGGGAAACACCTTACTGCTGTCACACCCCTCTACAGTCAGCAGTACGACTTCGCCCTCAGACCTTGGGTAGCTGCTTTTAGTCTCATCGTTCTCCAATCGACCTGCATGGCATGGTAGAACCTTGAGGAACATATGTTCCAGCCAGTATAGCTCGGTTGGGTCATCACGATAGGCAAGCCCGACCACCACGTCAAGGTAGCAGCTACGGTCGGGTTATTTATTTATTTACCTCATGAAAATTAATGTGCTATACTCTTTGAGCTCAATTGTATGTAACGGAAACTAGACGAACAACGAAAGTTCTCATTCACAAGATAAGAGTATTAAATAATAATTATCTATGCAAGATACTGAACATCCTTTGACCAAATATCATCAGCAACAGCCTATATTGTGAGAACAATGAACAGCCTACATTCTAGCGGAAAAATAAATCAACAAGAAGCGTTGCAGGTGGGTGGGATACTGTTATAATGCTGCTACTTAGCTATTCAAATCCTATCGACGTCCGAATTCAAATATTCTAATACGAACCAAATACTATTCCCAAGTCTCCTATATATCAGCAGAACGCAACACCGTTAGATGAAGTTGTTTTTATTGGGCCGAGTACAGAAGAGAGGTAGGCAGCCAAAGAACGGAATCGGAATCATGAAGTCTTACAGAGATAGTGCGTATTTATACATTTAAGTCGAATAACAAAGAGCATCAAAGTCTGTGACATTGACAGTTTAGGACGACCAATAGGAAAGAAAGTCTGTGACATTGACAGTCCGGATGGCCACCAATAAGAGACAACATTGAAGTATTTGACTTTGACAGTTAAAATGACCATTTATTTCGACCAATAGAAATCGACCAATAGGATTATACTGCCAAAAATAGTAGTACTCTTAGGATATTTGGTAAATATCGTAACAGATACACACAGTGAAGAAAGCATCCTCCACATGCATCTTAAGACAAGCCCTAACCCATGTCTTTTTTTTTTCTTCATTTAAAAAGTGCTATTGGTCATTTACAAATTTGTGAAATTGATTCAAATGGTGAATATTTACTTTTATGGAATTCAAGTATAAATAAGGTAAAAAAAAAATTTGTTTTAATTAATTGTAAATAATAAAAAAGAGAAATTTTTAGTGATTAATATGCTATAATAAAATGAATCGTTACACTCGTCTCTAGGTATGTATGCTTAAAACTATTACGAGTTCAATTTAGTCGAATAACGAGAACAAAACAATGAACTATCGTCCAGGTAGGTTACTGTGATCCCTTGATCGAATTGCATCAGCGAGAAGTGTAGAAATTACATTCTACAAACACCCAGCCAGCAGACAAATGAATCCAAGCATTCAAATTGCGTTTATTTATACTCTATAGAGACAGTCACAAAAATAGCACACTAAAATCACACAGTAACCAATCACAGCCAAGGATTTCCCTGGTAGGTAATGTGATCTCAAGGTCAACTGATCGGTCCATGAAATAAATCCAAAATAAAGATATTTATGAAGAGAGTTATGGGGATCTAACATCCTCAGAAATAGTATGATAAACTTAACTGAAATCTGAATTACATACAAACCTAATCTTTTACTCAATCATTAATCATAGTTAACACAGACTTCAAAGAGGATTTTAATTCTTAACATAGTCAGTCAGTCAGTCAGTCAGATGCAACGTAGAAGTTCGTACGTACGTAAGTACATCAGTTCAAGTCGCCATACCACATCAGCACAGAGATGTAATTGTCAATTCAAATCCAATAGTTATAGAGGTAGTAAAGGTATTAGAAGTAATCTGAGAAGTTAAGATTAAAAGATATTATTCAAGAAGTATGAGTCAGTGAGAAAAGTTTAGTAAGTCAAAACTAGAGTTGTTGAAGAATTCAGAAGATTAGGATTCGAGAGAACACAAAGCATAAATGCACTGGCGCCATTGCGAACGGTTTCGAGCCATGTCATTCAGGGTATCTAACCATCGATTACTAACATCTCGCGGACCCCAACCAGGTAGTCGACAACTACCGACATGGCTCAGTCCACTTGTTAGTGACTTCATGGATTTGTGCCATATTTTGGTTTGGCCGCCCCTAACTTTCTTCCAACCTATTCCTACGCCGCAAAATATAACTCTACGATGCCATCCATACCTAGCACCCGATTCCTAATAACAGCGTTGCTCACTCGGGTGTCCCACGATATACGAGCAATGCTTCGAAGACACCTATGATCGAAAACCAGTAGCCTACGAATATCTTCTACTCTCACTGGCCATGTTTCACAGCCATAAAGTAAGACGGAGCGAATTACTGCACAGTACACTCGTCCTTTAGTCAGCAAACGGATATCTCACCTACGCCATAAGTGACTCAGGTTGGCAAAAGTCAATCGAGCCTTCTGTATCCGAGCTGAGATTTGGTCAGTCACCAACCAGGCCATCAGCACTACTGATGAGACTCCCCAGATAAGTGAAGCGGTCAACATGTTCTTAACATAGTAAATTAGTTAAAATCCATCTGACTTGAACCATTTACCCGAGCTGCTATATACTAACTAATTCTGTTCATATCTACTACTATTATTATTATACTCCATACAGACTCAAGTCTATCCTAATCAGATTAAAAGGAAAAGAACAAATTTTTTAAACTCATTAACACATACATATCCAGTTATTTTCATTTGTTTCTTTTGTACTATTAAAACTTGAGTGAATTGTTTTGTTTATTGAAGAAGTATTGTGCACAAAGTTAAGAAATGCCGGAAAACGTTTCTGTTTTTTTTTGGAGGGCACAGTTTTGGAGGTTTGTGTTTTTACACATTTGAAATCATCAATTAATCATTGTTAGACCACCATTAGTAACCTGGAAGCACTGGACGGCCGTTTCGTCCTAGTATGGGACTCATCAGTAGCAGTGCGCATCCACGACTCCTGCTCCTCGCAGGATTCGAACCCGGGACCTTTGGCATTGTAGGCGAACGCCTTACCATCCGACCACTGGGCCGGCATCCAACAATGTTAATGTCTAACTCTGATTGATCTAGGGATTTTGCGCCAGCGCCGTCCAGTGATTCCAGGTTTCTAATGGTGGTCTAACAATGATTGATTGATGGTTTCTATTTTTGTTTTTTACAGAAAGATTCTTTTTAATTGAAATCATGATTTTTTTATGTTCGACCGCCGTTTAAAAGCTTTGGATGACTGTTTCGTCCTTGTATGTGACTCATTAGCAGTGCACACATCAACGACTCCAGAAGTAGGCATCGAACACAGAATGTTTAGTTTCGCTCATGAATACTGAACCTCTAAAACACTGAGTTGGCATCTAACAGTGTCAACACCACGGTCTTACGCGCAACCTTAACAGTTGCCTTTAGTGAGTAACTACTTCACACCCGACCTAGGTGAACTCCATTGATCATGGCTTCTCCGAGAATTTCCTCATGAAGCTAGTCAACAGTGAGCACAAAGACTGATGAAAGTTAAACATCAACGTCGTTAGATGCCGGATCAGTGGTCTAGAGATTAAGTGTTTACGCGCCAGACCGAAGGTGCCGGTTTCGATCCCCATGAGTTGGCATCGTTGATGTGTAGTGTTGGAGAGTCCCATACTAGTAAGGAACGGCCGTCTGGTATCTGGCTTTCTAATAGTTGTCTGACAATAGTGGTCTGATTGGTTCATCAATTCATTGTATAACAACAATGAAAATCATAGAGTAGTAGAAGTGGTAACAGCATCAGTAGTAATAAATGTGTAAAAAAGTAAAAAGTTCTAAATGACAAAAAGCAACGTATACACCTACACCAATGTGGATAACTGTGAATAATTATGTTGCCTGAAGTTTCCGTTCATTGGGTATGATTATCATACAGACCCCCAATCAGATAGTCCACACCTATGAAAAATGGCTCAGTCTAATTTTTCACCACCTTATAGGCCGACTTTACGTCGTACTTCCTCTTCCTCTAGCCTTCTTCCGAGCTAACCTTCCTAAAACCTACACCGACTAACTCAGTTGATGGGGATTCCAATACTTCATCAATAATCGACTTACAATACTTTCCGATTATCCTATCCCTAACTTTAGTATTACTCACTCAGTGATTCCAAACTACACGATTTTTCACATCCAGTAAAGAAAATAGAGTAAACTGACGCACAATAAACTTTTCCTTTAGTTGATAGACAGATATATATAGTTTACGTCTCTACGAATGACACAAACCAGCAAAAACCAATCGACCCATGACAATATGGGTACTTTAACTGACATACATTTGCGTCAGCTCGTACGTTGATAATGACGGATCAGTAATCAATTTGTGGTGCGCGCTACTTATAAGTAGTATATGACGTGAGTGTAAACGGTAATGTCTGGCAGCAGCAGAAGATGCGGGGGAAGATCAAGAAAGGGAGGAAGAGTGGGGGAACACAATGGAATTTGTATGAAATAGCATGAATAGTGAGTGAAATGTCAGACAATCGATTGATGATGAATTGGATTGAAGATTTGCAAATTAACCGTTTACGATATGGTTTTCCTATTTTACTGAGTAACTAACTCTGTAATTTTCATTAAATACAATTCGGTTGCCCTAACCTGTGTGTTCTCCTTCATTACAAATTCCCTACTTATTCAATTACTTTATTGATTTTCTTATATATAAAGGAAATCGACATTGGATTATACAAAGTTTGGCAAAAGCATGGTCATGAGAAAATGAATGAATTTACTTTTCCGCCTGATATTCAAATATCACCACGTACTGTATTTACATTATGGTCAAATAATGCTACCATCATACCGAAAAATGTTCAAAATTCAAAAACTCAATTTCGATGTCCAAATGTTTGTAAATGGTTTACTGATCCAAATTATATTACAATCATATCAAATTCATATGATGAGGTATTTTAAATGTTATTTATTTTATTAAGAACATAAATAATAATTATAGTTGTTGAGATCTTCGTCTGGAACCCCTTCTAGGGTTTCTATCTGTACTAAGGCTGGATTAAGGTGGTTGGTTTGGGCATGGAGTTAGTCACTACCTCATCCCTTAGAAATTTGACTTGCTGAGAAAAAAAACGCTAACCAGAAAAAAATAATTCGCTGGTTGGCTGCCTATGTTCCTGTTATGATATTAATCCAATATCCTAAGAGAATTATTATTGTTCAATTCCTATTGGTTACTTCCTACTGGTCAATTTTATGGTCGTCCTGGTAGATATCAATGTCACCTACTCCAATGTTGTTCCTTATTGGTTGTTATGACTATCAATGTCACTTCAAATGTTGTTTCCTATTGGTCGTCTTAACTGTCCATGTCACAAACTTCAATGTTGTTTCCTATTCAACCTAAATGTATAAATACGCATTATCTGTAACGTTTTATGACCAGGTCCCGGATCCTGATTCTCTTCTGGACTCGGACCTCGTACTTTCTGGATGCTTGTAGAATACAGGTTCTACTTCATATCTTGTCTTCTTATTTTTTATACAATACGGGGGTTGGGATAATCGGATTAGAGTAGCATGTCGTGTCGCTGGATCCTCGCTCTCGCGTTTCCGACTAGGTAAACTCGTAATAGTTCAAACATATCAAGCTGACGTGCTTACATGCAGGCGTAACAGGCGTAAGTACGTTGTTGTTGAGGCATTAAATGTTCTTCATGAAGACTGATAATATATAAATTATAATCGGAAAGGCTCACTATTGTAGTGTTCGTACAAATACGTTGAGCCAACAAGGCTTGTCCTAGCCTCTAGACAAATTAATGAACCCATTCTTTTCAAGTTTTGTAGAAATCTTTAGACCTTGTCTATTATCTGCTCATATCCTTGGTTATTCTTATTTGTGCATTGCTTATTTCGCTTTCCTCATCTTAGACCACCATTAGAAACATGGAAGCACTTGACATTCGTTTCGTCCTAGTACGACACTCTTCAGCAGTGCGCATTCACAACCATCTCTCTCAGGCATCTATTCAGATTTATTATTTACACCCTGAAATAGAAACTGATTATCATATTTGATGTATATCACTGATACTTGTTGGTCAAAGCATATTTATCGTATGTTAAGAGATCAATAGATAGACTACCATTAACGTTCGAAAACGTGTGTTTAATTTGTATTTTATTGTCTAACTTGATCATTAGCTAACTGATTTATATCTGAAATTTATTTTTTCCGTAGATTTTAGCTTGGCTTGCCCCGTCTACACGATGTTTTACCAGCCGAACTGGACGAGAACATTCACAACAGATTTATAATCCTTGTGGATTTCATTATGTACCAAATCTTAGTCGTGATTCATTAACAATAACAAGGTAAGAGTGAATACGTTTTTTGAAAATGTTTTTCTAAATTTAATTATCAATGGTTGGTCAGTTTAAAGGCGGTTGCGAAGAACAGTCAACCCAGGAGCGCAAGCTGGTAAAAAGGGGAGGAGTGTTGGGGACGTTAGATCCCCAGTACTCACTTGATAAATGTTTTAATTTTGGATATTATTCATGGGCTGATCAGTTGACATTGAAATCGAATTTCCCACCCAGGAAATCCTTGACTGTGATTGGTTGATGTATTATTTTAGTACACTCTTTTTGTAGCTGTTCCAAGGACGTTTTCATTATGTATAAATAAACGCAATTTGTGTGCTTGAGATTATTATATTTTCTGGGTGATTGTAGTATACACTTTCTACGCCATATCAAGACTTCCGATAATAGTTTGAGGACTTGTCCTCTATCATTCCGTAGTAGCAAATAGCTTGAAATTGATGTAGCTTTCCAGGATGATTGAAGGCGGCCTTTGACGTTCTGTTTGTGGAAGCAGCCGTAGAGATCCTGGACTATTGACGCCGACCCTATGTGGTTGTCCCGAACACTCTGTATCTCGGTGTATTGTATAAACTGGCCTCGAGGCCCCTTAAACAAGGGTCTCCAGTTGGGTGATGTGATCCTGTCCTCAAAGGTACTGGACGCCAATGATGTCTGCCCACTTCTGTAGTGGGATTAACCCAGCTTGGTTGAGTGCTTGCATTTGGTTGAGTTCATGACATCTTCCCCATTGGAGCGTGTACGTTCCGGCTGATCTTGTGGGACAAACTCAATCTTTAGCTTCATATGGGTTCTGAGGTCTCCGGTCGATTGTATCAGCGCAAGACAGTTGGAGGCCAGACGGTTGGAACGGCTGCTGGTTAGTGCACTGCTGGACAACATTTATGTTCCCGATTGGGACAGTGGTGATTACTGTTGGCTTCAGTGAAAATCCTTGTGTTGCCTAAAAAGCAGCGATGAGCATGTACAGCGGGCTTGTTCTGGTGTGTTGGACAACACTCGGAATAGTGAACAGCGTAGTTTCCTCACAAGTTAGTAACGAAGAGATGATTGCCAGATCCGAATGCATGATACGATCAATGTGTTATGAAGATTAAAACTTGAGTGAAACAAGACAATCAATAATCTGCTTGTTTTGTAAATGGATGTTTGAAGATAAGGTGTACATAATTTGTTGGTAAACTACTATATCTTCTCTAAATACACTAGTTTTCCATTTGGTCTTGACGTCTCTGTTCACTAAATTGACTACCTTGTTTATGAATATAAATAGCACCACTGGGAAGGACTAATAACACTCATTATGTCTTCTCTATTAATAATTCACTCTATTTTTCAGTTACTTATGACATCATAATTACTAACAGAATTTGTTTCATTCTTTTTGACGTACTCACGCTTATCATCTTCAGTGGAGCATAGGCGGCCGCTGACCAGCATTCTCCTGCTTACTCTGGACTGGGCTTTCCTTTCTAGTTCTATCCGGCCGTTTCGTCCCACTATGGGACTCGTCATCAGTGAGCACCCACGACTCCTACTCGCACAGGATTCGAACCTGAGACTTTCAGCCTTTCGCACGGACGCCTAACCTCTAGACCACGGCCGGAATCCTACGATGTTATTGTCTAAATCTGATCAATCTAAGGATTTAACGCTACTTCATCCATTGTCTTAGGTATTTACTAACTACACCCGACAGGGTTGAACTACAATGGTCACGTTGTTTCACTAGAACTCTGAGAATTTCCTCAAGGAGCCAGGTTTATTTTCATGCACCTTGAGAATTGGAAAGAATCGATCAAAAGTTTACGATCTATTGGATCACTGTCGCTTACCCTTCATCATATAATTTCCAAATATAAAGATTTATGGATTTGGGTAGTCGAATGGTTCTGAACAATGATTTTGGGTTTTTTCCACAGTTAAAATAATGAACTAAACAAAGCAAGAATACCTCGAAAAACCTAAAAGCACTGAACGGCCATTTCATCCTAATATGAGACTCTTCAACAGTGCGTATCCACCACCTTGCACGTGGGAATCGAACCTATGGCCCCAAATTCACACTCAAATTCTTGACCTCTGACTTGACATCCAGTCAGTCAGTCAGTTACAACGTAGAACTTCTTACATAATTACATAAGTTCAGATTGCTATACCGCATCAACACCGAGACGTCACTGTCAGTCCAAACCCCACGGTGATGAAAATAGTAGAAGAATTACTGGTAATTGTTAGGATATTCACCAAATATCCTAAGAATACTATTTTTAGAAGTACATTCCTATTGGTCGATTTCCATTGGCCGAAATTATGATCGTTCTAACCGTCAAGGTCGAATACTTCAGTGTTGCCTCTTATTGGTCATCTGGACTGTCAATGCCATTCAAATGTTCTTTTCTATTGGTCGGACTAAACTGTCAATGTCACAGACGTTGATGCTCTTTCTTATTCGACCTTAGTGTATAAATACGCACTATCTGAAAGGCTGAATAGTTTTGTTTAGAAAAAGACAGAGATGAAGTGGAATTCAGAAGATTAGAATTTCATAGAAAACAAAGAGTAAATACACCTGCGCCATCGCAAACGATTCTGAGCCATGTCATTCAAGGTCTTTAACCACCGGTTACTTTCGTCTCGTGGACCCCAACCAGGTAGCCTACATCTACCAACATGACTCAGTCCACTTGTCAGTGACTTCATGGATTTGTGCCATGTTATTTGTTCTGGCCGCCCCTAGCTTTCTTCCAACCCACGCGTATAGCACAAAACATAGCTTGACGAAGTAGTCGGTGGTTGGGCATACGTAACACATGTCTCAACCATCTCAACTAATGAAGTTTCACTACTTCGTCAACTGATCTGCCATCCCTACGTGGAACGGTTTCCTAACAACAGCATTGCTTGCTCGGTTGTCTGAAGGATACATGAGCAATGCTTCTAAGATATCTTTAATCGAACACTAATAACCTACAAATGTCCTCAACTCTTACCAGCCATGTTTCGCAACCGTATAGTAGGACTGAGCAAACTGCTGCACAGTAGACTTGTCCTTTAGTTAGCAAACGGATATCTTACCTGCGCCATAGTTGACGCGTGTTGGCAGAGGCCAACCGAGCCTTCTATATCCGTGCTGAGATTTCGGTCATTCACCAGACCATCAGCACTGATGAGACTCCCGTACTTGGCATGCAATAGTGTTAATGACTAACTTCAATCAATTCATGATATTGCGCAACCTTAACTCCCCTTGCTTGCAGTGGATAATTACTAGTAAACTTTCGTTCGACAGTGAATAATATTTAAAATTGCTGTTTTTCAAAGTAAAACTTACGACAACCAACTAGTGTTTAACCGGAAAGTTTAAAATCTATTACCAAAAAACTAAAAAATATTTCTCCTTACGTAAATTTTCTCTCGAAACGGAATACCAGATGTGATTGTATCTGACAACGAGTCGCAATTCACCTGTAACCAATTCCAAGCTTTCTGTCAACGGCTAGCCATCAATCACTTACGTTCGCCATCATAACACCTGCAGTCGAAGCTCAACGACAAGCTGATCCCGTTTCCAGAAGGTGGCCTCTCCGACAGAGGCGAACAACATGCAAGATGCAAGTCGACCCCAGGAATATACGCTATTAAAAAAGGGAGGTGTGTTTGTCACGTCAGATCCCCAGAACTCACTTGGAAATATCCTAATTTCGTGATCTTATTCTGAAATTTTGGATTTCCATATTTTCGCGCCAGTTGACCTTCAGCTCACAATTCCCACTCGAAAAATCCTTGACTGTCACTGGGTTGATGTGTTATTTTAGTACGCTACTTCCGAGGCTCTCCCAAGATCGTTTCTATCATGTATAGATAAGCTCGTTTTGAATGCTTATCAATGTCGTATTTTGCAGGTGCTCGTAGAATACACTTTCTACGCCCTATCAACACTTCTTGATCTAGTTAGACTACTGGGCTTGGGACAAGCGAATTAGTATAGTCTATCATATCATTGTATCATTGCTTTGCTTTTGTTTACCGAGTAAGTTGAACTGATAATAGTTTTAATCCTATCAATTGACGAGCATATCATTTTTGTAGTGCTTTAGTTCGAAATTCAGGCCTTTTACTTCAAATAATTTATATTCGTACTGTAGTGAAGAAGAACACACAGGTGAGGGCAACCGAATTGTATTTAACGAAAAAAATTACAGAGTTAGTTACTCAGTAAAATAGGAAAACCATATCGTAAACGGTGGTTAATTTGCAAATCTTCAATCCATTGTCTGACATTTCACTCACTATTCATGCTATTTCATACAAATTCCATTGTGTTCCACCCACTCTTCCTCCCTTTCTTGTTGATCTTTCCCCCCCCCCCGCATCTTCTGCTGCTGCCAGACATTACCGTTAACACTCGCGCGTCATATACTACTTATAAGTAGCGCGTACCACAGTACTATGATAGTTTTCTGATTAATTACTCCTTCTTTTTTTTCCTCTTTAAAAAAAAATAATATTTTAAATTTCTTTTAGACAAAAATCATCAAATAATAACTTGTCATCATCTTCGACAAATAATCAATATCAACCGACAAATTCTACTCAATTATTATTATTACCGAATGACACTGAAGCAAATGATACAGTAGTTCATCGAATCAATTATCATGGTAAAACTGCATCACAATTTCATTTGAATGATTTATATAAACAACAATCGATTGGAACTATGAACGTCAATATGGATCGTGCATCAGTTACTCACAAAAATAACAACAATAATCATAATAACGATCATAATAATAATAATAATAATAATAATATCAATAATGTTAAAGATCGTAATTTATTAAAAAGCAAAAATTTAATTACCCTGAATCCTCCAAATCTACTTCATAATAAATTTATTTTAAATGATAAAATGGTAAATTTGAATATATATATTTATATATATATATTTACTGAATTTGTAGACAGTTTTTCTCAGGATAAAATTTTTCGCATTACGTGGTGTTGTGAAGATTGTTGTTAAGTTACACAATTTTTTGAAACCATGAATTGATCAATGTTAGTAGACCACGCCATTAGAGAAACCTGGAAGAAGCACTGGACTAGGGCCGTTTCGTCCTGGTATGGGACTACTCATCAGTGGCAGTGCGTATCCACGACTCCTGAACCCCCCGCAGGATTCGAACCCAGGACTTTCGGTGTTGGTGCTCGAACGCCTAACCATCGGACCACTGAGCTGGTATCTAATAGTGTTAATGTCTAACTTGATCAAATTCACAGGTTTCTAATGGTGGTCTAACATTGATCGATTTATGGTTTTAAAAAATGTGTAACTTAACAACAATCTTCATCACAACAACCCCGTAATGCAAATTACCTGTGCTCACGAGTGACTAGCCTCGATTGTATCAGCGCAAGACAGTTGGAGGCCAGACGGTTGGAACGGCTGCTGGTTAGTACACTGCTGGACAACATTTATGTTCCCGATTGGGGCAATGGTGATTACTGTTGGCTTCAGTGAAAATCCTTGTGTTGCCTAAAACGCAGCGATTTGCATGTACAGCGGGCTTGTTCTGGTGTATTGGACAAAATTTGGATAGAATTGGTGCTCGAACGCCTAACCATCGGACCACTGAACCGGTATCTAACAGTGTTAATGTCTAACTTGATTCAATTCACAGGTTTATAATGGTGGTCTAACATTGATCGATTCATGATTTTTAAAAATGTGTTATTTAATAACAATCTTCACAACAACCTCGTAATGCAAATTACCTGTACTCACGAGTGACTAGCTTCTTCGTGAGGAATCTTCTCCGAGTTCTAGTGGTGAGAAGACGTGACCAATGTGAAGTTCAACCTGTTCGGATGTAGACAGTAACTACTACCGAAGACTGTGTATGAGGTTGCGTAACTCCGTGAATTGATTGAAGTTAGACATTAACACTGTTAGATACCGGTTCAATGATCCGATGGTTAGGCGTTCGCGCACAATACCGAAGGTCTTGGGTTCGAATCCTGCGGGGTGCAGGATTCGTGGATGCGCACTGCCACTGATGAGTAGTCCCATACCAGGATGAAACGGCCCCAGTCCAGTGCTTACAGGTTTCTAATGGTGGTCTAACATTAATCGATTCATGGTTTCAAAAAAAGATAAAATTTCTGTTTTTCAAAATATATATTAAAGCATCTATCTAAATCAACATGATTAGACTGTTTGTTTAGTGTTATGGAGATCATTGTTTTTTTTTTGACACATTGAAATCATGAACGAATCATTGTCAGATCATCATTATTACAAGCTTGGAAGTACTGAAAGACGGATGTTTCGTCCTAATATGCGACTCATCAAAGTTAGACATGGACACCGTTAGATGCCAGACCAGTGATGTAGAGGTTAGGTTGTAGTGAAAGAGAACACAGGTGGGGGACAACCGAATTGTATTTAACGAAAAAAATTACAGAGTTACTCAGTAAAATCGGAAAACCATATCGTAAATCGTTAATTTATTTGCAAAATATCAGTTCATCATATCGAACTGGACTGTTCCTGTTGCAAAACATCAATCCATTGTCACTCACTATTCATGCGTTTCATACAAATTCCATTGTGTTCTTCTAACTCCCCCTTTCTTGATCTTCCCCCATCTTCGGCTGCCAGACATTACGTTTACATTCGTGTCATATACTACTTATAAGTAGTTCGCACCACAGCACCACAAGGTGTCCGTGCGCAAGACCGAAGTTGTTGGTTTCGAAACTTGTGAGTAGCTGGAGTTGTGTATATATTTGACAGGTTAACAATAATTGAAAACATTGAATAAACTTTTGTAAATATAAGAGAAGAAAGAAATATTAAATGAAATCGTTAACTAACAGTCGTTGAAACAACTTAGGCAAAATTATTGGATCGTTGTTATTGACCACCAACTAGATATTCTGGTAATGACTAATGTAATGAACAGACATTTCAAGATCAAAGAAAAAAAAGAAACTTAGTATTTTCAGAAAAGATACAATTTACTAACAAGAATGTGTACACGACATATTGGTTGTCTTGTTTATACATATCCTTTAATTGTAGAAACACTCTGATCGCAATGTGCATTAGGATTCAAAAAAATTTCTTTAAATCATTAACTTTTACGGGACACTCCAGTGCGTACTGCTTATAATAAGCTAAGTTGGGAGTAGTATCCACTACATTAATACTGAACCGTATTGAATAAAAAAAAGGCCGGGAGAAACCAAATTATTCCAATATTGCAGTGTCTACTTAATTAAATTTGAGTAATACACGGCGAAAAGTGCAAAATACAATACGATCATTTGGTAGTGTAACAATATTGATAATCTTAGCCTTTGTTTTCATCTCATTTAGCTTAATCTTTTAGTTGATGATTCAACATGATCATACATGTGTGTAACTGCAAATCTGAACATATTTTCTTTATCGATTTTAGATATGAAGTAAATCACAGTACTGCTTGTCAGACAGTAATGTAACTTAAATTAAAGTTGGGTAATCTGTTTACTCCAATAAAAATAATACCAAACCACTGTTACTGAAAGAATTTTTAGTGGCTGCGTTAAATTCGATGTAGGCCTCACCATTTTAGTGGTCCGCAATCCGAATCTAATATACACGAACTATTTAAGTATTCTATGAAATAAATCTTCCCTTCCATTTTCCATTTATCATACGTTTAGGCGAAACCCGTTTATGCGACAGCGGCGATAATAAGAGACCAAATACGGATCTAGTTGAATGAGTTTATTTCATCCAATCGTTCATGCATCAGACATGAGGATAAAAACTGATTAAGCAAACAGAAAAGAATTAGCGAAGGCGAGTGTGAGCCAAATTAATGCGATGAGGCATGACCAACAATATTTTACAATATTTTCAGTTAGAGTTTTGGGGATTTGTGTTTTTACACATCGTTGGATTCCGGTCCAGTGGTCCGATGGTTAGGCGTTCGCGTACAATACCGAAGGTCCCGGGTTCGAATCCTGCTGGGTGCAGGAGTCGTGGATGCGCACTGTCACTGATGAGTAGTCCTATACCAGGACGAAACGGCCGTCTTTCAGTGCTTCCAGGTTTCTCTAATGGTGGTCTAACAATGATTGATTGATTGATCATTTCAAATGTGTAACAACTATTTACAGTCAAACAAAATTAACCCAGATATGTGATAAGCAAAGTAAGCATGTTCACACACACACTAAAATAGAAACAACCAAGGATATAAGTGAATAATAGACAAGGTCAAAAGTCAGGTGAATAATAACTCAGACAGTAAATGTTAATTAATTAGTTTGTTCGAAAGCTCAGACAAGCCATATGCGCTCAACATACTGGCACACACACATACACACACACTGGAAAGTCATTATTTGGCTTTTTCCACAAAATATTTACTAATTTTTCAATGTTTCTATTACAAAATACATTTGTTGTACTATTTAATTTATCTTGAATATTATTTATGTGTGTGTGTGTGTATATACTACAATTCTTTTTTTGTGTTTTGAAAAATTTCCACAGGTTCCATATTCCTCTCATAAACCATATTATAGTTTTCTACGTCAACTATCCATTGATACTGATCGAACTAGTTAGTTATTGATTTACACACCTACATCAAAACAACCAAAGTGATCGGATCAAGAAATGTCAATTTGTTTGTTTGTTTGCGTGTGTGTGTGTATGTGTGTATGTGTGTGTGTAGTTTACGAATACTTTTTCTTTTAAAAAGAGATAAATATTTACCTTATTTCTTTTACGATACGTAAATCAATAAAATTTACTTGAAAGTATAAATTTTTGCTTTCTTTGATTTAAAATATTGCTATCCATTAATTAAAATATCATCCTAGTATGGGATTCATCGGCGGCGCGCATCCACAAGTCTTGCTACTCACAGGATGATTCAACGTGTGTTGATTGGAGATCAATCCTATCAGAAGTAGGCATTAACTATCGAAGGTTGCGCAAAACCCTAAGATTAATCAAAAGTTAGACATTAACACTGTTAGATGCCGGACCATTGGTGGTTCAGATGTGAAGCGTTCGTGTGTGTAAGACCAAAGGTCGCGGCTTCGAATCCTAATGAGTCCGGTACTAGTGTAGTGAAGGAGAAAACAGGTGGGGGCAACCGAATTGTATTTATAGCAAATTACAGAGTTGCTCAGTAAAATAGGAAAACCATATCGTAAACGGTGAAATTTGCAAATCTTCAATCCATTGTCTGACATTTCACTCACTATTCATGCGTTTCATACAAATTCCATTGTGTTCTCCCCACTCTTCCTCCCTTTCTTGATCTTCCCCCGCATCTTCTGCTGCTGCCAGACATTACGTTTACACTCGCGCGTCATATACTACTTGTAAGTAGCGCGCACCACACTAGGACGAAATGGCCGTCTATTGCTTCTTCCATGTTTCTAATGGTAGTCTAACAGTGGGTGACTCATGATTACAATGTATTTGTTTGCTTTGATAAGTTAAAACAAAACAAGATAGCGAGAGAGAGAAAGGATGAATGAACTGTATCATTATGACATTAATTTACAAGATGGACAGTTGAATTCGATGACTGGAAACAGTTAGTCTATTTTAATGTTATGAAATTAAAACGAATGATTCAAGTAGAAGAATAAATAGTTACCAGAAAAGATTAGGGGAAATCTTCAGTCAAACAGTCAGTCAGTCAGTTGCAACGTAGAACTTCGTACGTGAGTACATCAGTTCATGTCGCCATACCACATTATTAGAACAGAGATATAATTGTCAATTCAAATCCAATAGTAGTAGTAGAGGTACTAAAGGTATTAGAAGTAATCGGAGAGGTTTGGATGAGAAGATATTATTCAAGAAGTATGATTAAATGAGAAAAGTTAAGAAAGTCAAAACAAGAGGTGTTGATGAATCCAGAAGATTAGGATTTGAGAGAGCACAAAGAATAAATGCACCTGCGCCATTGCGAACGATTTTGAGCCATGTCATTCAAGGTCTCTAACCATCGATTATTATCATCTCGCGGAGCCCAACAAGGTAGTCGCAAACTACCGACATGATTCGCTCCACTTGTTATTGACTTCATGGATTTGTGCCATGTTTTGGTTTGGCCGCCCCTAACTTTCTTTCAACCTATTCCTACACTACAAAACAAAGCTCGACGAGGCAGTCGGTGGTTGGGCATACGCAGCACATGTCCCAACCACCTCAACTGATGAAGTTTCAATACTTCATCGATTGATCTGCCATTCTTACCTAGCACCCGATTCCTAATAACAGCGTTGCTTACTCGGCTGTCCCAGGATATACGAGCAATGCTTCGAAGACACCTATGATCGAAAACCAATAACCGACGAATATCTTCTACTCTCACTGGCTATGTTTCACGGCCATAAAGTAAGACGGAGCGAACTACTGCACAGTACACCCGTCCTTTAGTCAGCAAACGGATATCTCGCCTACGCCATAAGTGACGCAGGTTGGCAAAAGCCAATCGAGCCTTCTGTATCCGTGCTGAGATTTCGTCAGTCACCAGGCCATCGGCATTGATGAGACTCCCGAGATAACTGAAGCAGTCTACACCCTCGACTACTTCACTCCCTATCACTAGTTCAGGTGCCGATGAAACCCAATCTTGAAGCAACATTTTGCATTTCGAGGAGGAAAACCGCATCCCGAACATGCTTGCATTGTTGCTTAGGGTAGTCAGAAGACTCTGCATTTTGTCAGCGTCTTCACCAAGTAGGACAATGTCATCGGCATATTCTAAGTCAATAAGCGAGCCACCTGGTAAAAGGTCTACTCCTGAAAATTCAGATGAGGATAAGGTTATTTCTAGGAGCATGTCTATGATAAAATTAAACAAGAATGGAGAGAGTGGACAGCCCTGACGGACACCACTTGATGTAAAGAATTCAGATGACAGTTCGCCATAAGCTCTCACTCGACCAGTGGTGTTCGAGTAGAGAGCTTGTATGAGGTTAATGTACTTCTCTGGTACACCTTTCAATGACAGACACTGCCACAGAACCTCACGATCTACAGAGTCAAATGCCGCCTTAAGGTCCAGGAATACAACTATTGTGGGACGCCTAAATGTGTGTCTGTGTTCCAGGACCTGTCGTAGTGTGACGATATGGTCTATACAGCCACGTCCAAGTCTGAAACCAGCCTGGTCTTCTCTAGTCTGCTCTTCACGAGCTTTCGTTAAGCGTCGAAGTATTATTGAATCTAATATTTTAGAAAGTATATTGGTTAGAATGATCTCATTGTGATTGTCACAAGAAGACTTCTGTCCTTTCTTATAGATTGGGACAATCAGTGATTGAGACCAGTCGGATGGGATTACGTCCAGTTCCCAGATTCTACCTAAGATCTCAGTCAACCTAGTTGCTAAAACTGGACCACCATCTTTAAATATCTCAGTGTTCAGTCTATCAGGACCTGCAGCTCGTCCTCGTTTCAGATTTCCTAACGCTTTTTCAATTTCATTAATACTAGGGGGCTAACGTCGATTTGCCATTCAGGATGACTGGAGATCGTGGGTAACCGAAGACTGTCTCGAGGCCAGCTGAACTGATCCCTAAAGTGTTCTGCACATCGATCCAGTCTCCTGGATTGAGAATAAAAAATAGCCCAGTCATTTTCTGAGATAGTCTCACTTACACTATGATTCCTAATACCAGTTTCCTTGATAAGTCGGAAAAGTTGTCTACTGTTGCTGATCACCGCTGCCTTTTCCATCGCTTTTGCTTTCGCCACCCACCACTGTTCGCGATCGTTACGTAGGCTTTTTATAAGTCTGCGCCTAAATTGACTTCGTTCTTCATCATGCTCAGAGCCAGGTAGGATGAGTTTTCGGGCATCCATCAGATCGGTGGATGCTACTGAGATCCACGGCTTCATTCTAGCTTTACGGTCAACCTTACTAGCAGATATAACTGCTGTTTCCACAGCCTTTTTGATATCATTCCAACCTGCCTCCGGATGGGGATCGCTTAAATGGTCTGAATCTAAACATGTGCTCCAGAACGAGCGACAGTCTTCTATCGAACCCCTCCATCGGTGGCTGATGGCGATGTGATCTAGTTGAGTCCAACGTTGAGACGACTTTGGAGGTCGCCAGGTCAACAGATGCTTTTCCTTATGCCTAAAGTTGGTGTTCGCTAAGAATAGGCGGTTATCTGAGCACAGTTGCAACAGACGGTCACCATTGTCTGTTCTCTCAGTCGCTACACCATAACATCCACCAAGATGTCTTTCCTTTTCACCTAGTCTACCTACTTGAGCATTGAAGTCACCAGCCATTATTACTATATCAGAGCGCTTAGCTTTTTGGAGGAGGTCCGAAAGCTTTCTGTAAAACTCATCTTTCACCTCGTCTGAACTGCAGTCAGTGGGGGCATAGGCAGATATGATGAAGAGTCAACGGCGAGTGTCTCTATCCTTCCGAGTCCTTACTGTCCCGTCTAGTCAGACAGCGCACAAGCGTCTATCTACTGGGATCCAATCAAGGAGAGATTGTTCTGCCCTACGACTCAATGCTATGCCTACGCCAGCAAGACCCCTGCAAGCAGCATCAGGGCTACCGGATACACGAAGAGTAAATCGAGCTGCTTCTTTATTTTGACATGTTATGGCCAAGTGTATGACGTGACTCGGATCCTGTATGCGCGTTTCCGAGACGCAGCATACATCGATGGCACGAGATTCTAAAGTTCTAGCTAATGATGCCTGTTGCCCTATTTGACACAATGTCCGTACATTAAATGCTCCAACATGTAGTCTAGAGCGAGGTTTAAGGAGATCAGGACCGACGTTACGCGAACTCTTGTCCTCTGCATTAGCTGTGCACTGTGATGAATGAATGTGACAAGAGTTAGTCGTTGAGATAAGAGTGGTATTAGAGGGTGTAGGAAGGATTTGATTTTGACCAATTTGGTCTCGCGTGCTGTTACAGGTATGAGGGCGGTCGTCACTTCACGGCTGCCCACACCGTGGAAGGTTGTTTCTTGAGGAACCTGAAAAGGAAGATAGATTAGTGTTGGTCTTAGAGACCTGGGTGCGTGACGGCAGAGCACAAGGGACAACTGCTTCAGGCCGGTCACGCACGGCCTTTTTATGAAAAGTTTTTTGAGTATTAGCTCCGCACTTGAAAGCCCTTAGTGGGCACGCTTACAGCCTGAGACGGAAATCCGAGAGTTAGGGGATGTGTGACATTTTTAGGGTCGACCTTTTCTAACCCTTCCTTACTTCCTTGTGAGAAGGCAACATCGCTGCAGATGCTGGTTGTCCGAGGGAAACACCTTACTGCTCTCACACCCCTCTGCAGTCAATAGTACGACTGCGCCCTCAGACCTTGGGTAGCTGCTTTTAGTCTCATCGTTCTCCAATCGACCAGCCTGGCATGGTAGAACCTTTAGGAACATATGTTCCAGCCAATATAGCTCGGTTGGGTCATCACGATAGGCAAGCCAGACCACCACTGTTATCGTACCATTTACTATTCATATTGTTTTTTGAAAGTTTATTATTAACAGTTCCCTTCTAATCATAGCCACTTGTGATTTGTTTATGTAAAGTTCTTAAATGTCATTTTTTTGGTGTAATGCAATCTGGATT